AGCATCTACCTCATGGGAGTTGGGGAGTTCTGTTTTAGATAATATATGTAAAATGCTTGTAAGAATAGGGGACATATAATAAATGCTTGATAGATATTAGCTACTACTACCACTATTATTATTAGCCCCAAATCTATTAACTACACATGACTTTCATTCTGTATTTTTATACAATTTAAGGAAATAATTCTATTTTACAGAATCTGTTATTCTTATTTCATACATTTGTTCCACATCAGTAATATACCAGGTCCTGTGTTACACATAAGGCATTATAAACACCAAGGTCTTTTGGTCAAAGAGTAAGTTAATATAACAAAAATTTTTATAGGTGCCTGAACATTGCCCTAAACTCTACTAAAGCATGTCAAAATGTGAAAAATAAAACTATACACAATGAAAACATAGGTGGTCATTAATGAATATGAATTCTATAACAAAATAATTTTAGTGTCAATGGAAGAGAGTGCTTTTCAGTTTAACTAAAGTTTTTCCAGAGGTTTAATCAACTACTTAGGGAACACAAAGAATTGGAATAGAGCATGAAAACCTGAGTGTGATTCCTGGAATATTACAGGTGCTCAATAAAGATTTGTCTCGTCTAAGACTAGGACTGAAAAGCATCCCAGACTTAATGCTGACTCAGGAGATATTGCCACCTAGTGAAATATTAGGCTCATTACCTGAAATTATCAAGTAATGTTTAGAACTTCCCTAATTTGATCTTACTTAAAATACATACATGTACATTCAACCTAAGTCAGTATTCAGACTAGGTGATGCACTGGTAATAAAAAGATAAATAAGCTGCTATGTCTGCTTCCTACAAACTATAGATGATACAAAGAAACCAGAGAGATATAAAGTAAATGGTATTGTAGGGAAAAAAAAAGTTTGCTTAATAAATAACCAAAAGCTAACATTTTAGAAAATCTGCTCAAAAAGGCAGTTCAGTGTAGCAAATAAAATCACGGTCTCCAAATACAGACTGTATGGATCCAAATCCTGGCTCCTGTAAAGTGGGGTAATTATAGAACCTATCTCATAAGATTATTGTGACAAATTAAATAGGTGTAAAGTGCTTAAGACGGGCCCAGAAATACAGAAAGTGCTTTGTAAGTATTAGCTATGATTATGACTAAATGTAGAGCAGGAACCTAGAGACTGAGGTAGATAAATATTGATTAATAACATAACATTATTGCTAAAACTAGCCTTGTGAATGTAACTCAGTAGAGGCCGTTTCTGTGACTAGTACTCTGTTGTTATGGGAATCCTTAAAGTACATTATTTGTGGTATTCTGTGACTAAATTTCGTATTACTAGATGATTAACCCTTCAGCATCAGGCAAATAAAACTGCCTTCTGAAAGTAAAAATCATATTTCTTACCAAAAAAAGCAAAAAGTCAGTAGAATGAAAGACTCAAAAGACCACAACTGAACATATGCTTAACAAGGAAAGATGCTTGCTGATTCTTCACAGGTTCTGCTAGAACTGAAAGATGGATGATACATTTTGCTACTATTGTGGTCTTATCCGCAGCTTATTTAACTTGTAAAAAAAAAATCTTGCTCTATTTTCCTTGAAAATTACCTGAATATATCAGCAGCTCCGATAAATACTTTTTAAAAGCCATGTAACTGTTCTATATCCTTCAAATTTTGTACTATTAATAAGTTTATGGAAAGCTACATGTAAATTTTATTTTCAGACCAGAAAGTCTAGGCAAAACAAGTGTGTGTGTATGTGTGTGTGTGTGTGTGTTAGAGGCCCAATGCATGAAATTCGTGCTGGGGGCCTCAGCCCAGCCTGCACTCTAACTTTCATTTTCTAATGGATATATACCATGCACAAGAACTGTGCTAAAACTTGGATTGCTTGAGATTATGTAACCTCTTCTTAGCTTCCTCTTTTTAAAAATAAGCAGCAAAGAGTTTGGACAATATGTTTAAAAATTTTAAGTTTTCATTTGTTTTTAAAGGTAAGAATGTAAAAAATCATGTTCTAAATACAATGCACAAATTTTAATTTCATATGCATTATTATTTCTAAGATACTTAGAATTCCTTCCTCTTCCATGTTAAGATAGTGTGAATGTAAAACAATGTTCTTAACTTCAAAAAATTATTTTCTATCACAACTGAGCTAAAATTTTACACACTCTAATAATCAAAAGGCTACCAAAAAAGCTTGTTAAGAGAGGAGGGTGGGGGGAACCTTTTCAATTCTATTCAATATATAGATGCTTATCAGTATATGAAGACATAAGTTGCCATAAAGTCAAGTATATATCATTTGGATGAGTTTGATAGCAACCCACTTGACCTTTTTTTGTTTTAATCTAGTGCTTATTAATTTACAAAGTACTTCCACTGTCCCTGTCTTATAGTGTCTTCACAAATAACAGGTAGCACAGGTATTAATAGCAGTAGTACCATTTACTAGATAGGAAAATGGAGTTTTAGGAAGGCAAGAAATTTGTGCAAAGTTACTAAAGAAACAGAACTGAGCCCAGACAGCATGAGGCAGGAGGTCACAGTTCAATTCCTGGTCAGGGCACATGCCTGGGTTGCGGCTGAATCACAAGGGCGTGGAGGAGGCAGCCGATCAATGATTCTCTCTCATCATTGATGTTTATATCTCTGTCCCTCTCCCTTCCTCTCTGAAATCAATTTAAAAAAATTAAAAAAACAAATAGAACTGAACCTTAAACCCTGCTCTTTCTACTGGCATTTCTAGAATGAACCTCTTAGTTGGAAACCTATTGTCTAAAAGCCATATGGGCAAACCTGACTGGGCAATCTAATGATGAAATCCTTTTATCAATGACAAAAAAAAAAAAAAATAAAATAACTGAAGGAAAAAAAGAGTGGAACTTTAACTTGCATTTGTAGTGAAAATTTCAAAAGCCTGAGAAAAAGATTAGAAATTGAATGAAGACTGTTGTGAAACCTCTTGAGTCTGAGGAAATAACTGTGGAGACTATTTCCTATATAACAGTTCTAATTATAAAGTCCTTAGGTAGAGTTCTCCTTTATGTGAAGATTTGGGAAAGCACACAGAAAGACCTGTTTCAGGATACAAGTTTTAACCAGACACCAGCTTTGGACACTGGCTGACTTGAGAAAGCCATTTGTCTTTTCCTATAATCAGGCAGTGTTTATTTTTGCTAATATTTGCTTGTAATAGTAAATGGTATTATGTTGTTTAACAATTCTACTATTAGTAAGTGTTCTGTAAATCTGAACATGTTAGAGAAATTAATTATTAATTCTCAGCAAAATAATTTAAAATAAATCTCAATTTTACACATTATTTTCTTATATAATTTGCCTGAGAAGACATATTAAAATCCATACTATGATCAAGAACATCAAATTTAGCCGAAGCCGGTTTGGCTCAGTGGTAGAGCATCAGTCTGCGGACTGAAGGGTCCCAGATTTGATTCCGGTCGAGGGCATGTACATTGGTTGCGGGTGCATCCCCGGTAGGGGTTGTGCAAGAGGCAGCTGGTCGATGTTTCTCTCTCATCGACGTTTCTAGCTCTCTATCTCTCTCCCTTTCTCTCTGTTAAAAATCAATAAAATATATTAAATAAAATAAAATAAAAAAAGAACATCAAATTTAGAACTTAATTGTTTAATAACTTAGGACTTATCACAACCATTACCAATTCAATCTGTATTAATGCAAATAACTTAACCATTCACATTTCATTAATTTAAACACTTTGTCCCAATAGTGCCACATTGATGTGTAAGCTATCCCAGTTTGGCAAAAACAGTGAATGATGATAGATGACATCTTAAACACATCAAAGAAATGAAGAAAGTTTTAATATATGAAAAAAAATGAATTTTGAGAGTGACAGCACTGTCAGTACGATATAGAACAATGAAAACCTGATATTAGCACATAAATTAAAGAAATGTATAAAAATAGCATAAATCCATATATTCTAAGAATGCCTTGCTATTCCTGAAAAAATGTGTCTAGTCTTGATTTCCGTATCTCAGAATGATATAACAGTGTAATTTTAGAGTAGCAAAGATATCAGATTTATAATTCTGGATCTTGTTTTCACTGACATTAGTTTTTTGTCTTCTTTTCATGTTAAGAAACTCTGTAACTTATTAAAACTATGTGATTTAGTAAAAAACAAAAACAGAGAATAAGAAATAAACTCAATATTCAATGGAACACATTAAAGATCTATATTTCCTAAATGTTATTTATTTATTTATTTATTTATTTATTTATTTATTTCCTCAGCTGAGGATATGTTTTTATTGATTTTAAAAAGAAGAAGGGGGGGGGGTTGAGAGAGAGAAGAAGAGAGAGAGAGGGAGGGAGAGAAAAAGAGAAAAGAGAGGAAGGAAGGAAGGAAGGAAGGAAGGAAGGAAGGAAGGAAGGGAGGGAGGGAGGGAGAGAGGGAGGGAGGGAGGGAGGGAGGGAGGGAAGAAAGAAGGGAAGGAGGGAGGGATGAAAAAAGGAAAGGAGGGAGAGAGGAAAGGAGGGGGGGATTGTTTCCCTCTCATACCCTGACCAGGGATCAAGCCTGCAATCTGGGTATGTGCCCTGACTGAGAATCGAATCTGTGACCTTTCAGTGTACAAGACGATGCTCAACCACTGAGCCACACCAGCCAGGGCTACCTTTTAAATTTAGTTACCATTCCCAAATAATTTTAGATGCATTTTGCTTATTTAAATTGACTTATAAAGAAAAGTGATGATTACTTTTCTGAGATTACAATATAAGGGCACAACTATTATGTGTACTTTTGCTGATATTTAAACTCCAGAATAATTGTGCTATGGACAAATAAAATGCTATAATACAATAAAAACAATCTATTTATGTGCGTGGCTCTTACAATATGTTCAAGAGAACTTTGTTAATACAAAGAATGACAGTTGTCAGAATTTATGATTTCTGCTTCAGTATAAATGTAAAGGTAACTTTAAATATTCTTTACTTATCAAGCAGTAGACTTACCATGGAAATCATAAATATACAGAAGAACTGGCTCATTCTGTCCAAATGCACAAAATGCAACCATATTTTCAAGTGGATGATAAGAAATGTCTCGAATGGGTGACTTGAATGGCAGGTCAGAATACATTGCTACTTGTTCTCCTAAATAAGAAAAGATTCAATAATGGGTATTGCTATTTCTTATTAGAAGATTATTCTGCAACTTACCAAAAATATTTAAAGACAGTAAGTAATATGAAGCTGTTTTCTATATGAAAATCTCATATACTTATAAATATTTGAGCACTACTGAATTTCATAATTATATTTATTTTTCATTCTGTTGGGCTTCCTCCTTCTACTTCTCAGTCCAAACTCTTCAACAAGGTTTTCAAGGCAGAAAATGGACAGAGTTTGGAGGTACCTGACTCTGAGATTTGACAGGGCTGAGCAAATGCCAGCTAACAAAGAACTCCAGAGAGAACTAGGAAGGAACTGCAGGACTCTAAAACTGAAGAAACTCTCTGGTTGGGGAAGGCTTACTGGGGATTAATTTTTTTCCAGAGGCTGTTTGAGGTACCATCTCCTTTGAAAATATATATGATTACTACTGGCTACAAGAGGCCTATAGCAGACGTCTAAGAAACCTCTGAAAAGCAGAACTCAAAAAGCAAAAACTCTAGATCCATTTATTTAAGAGGAAAAGAGATTTAACATTAAAAAATTAAAAAATACAGATAGACACACACACACACACACACACACACACACACACACACTACTCACATACTCTTTATGAATTTCAGAGAGGAAGGGAAAGGGAGAGAGAGAAAAAAAAATCAGTGATGAGAGAGAATCATTCAACTGACCGCCTCCCGCACACTCCACACTGGGGATGGAGCCCGCAACCCAGGCATGTGCCCCTACTGGGAATTGAACTTCGACCCTATGGTTCATAAGTCAATGATAAACCATTGGGACATGCCGGCCAGGCTTAACATTTTTGAATTTATACTAAAATATAAAAATGCAGTAAGAAAAGAAACCTAAGCAAACTGACTAGTTAAAAATGCCTAAAGGAAACACCAACAGAATAAATAAGGGGAAATTAAATACTGTTCTTAAGAAATTCTATAAAATCCTCTCAATCTAATGCTAAAAATGTTTATGTAGTTATAGCTTTTTTTAAATAGCATAGGTAAGCCAAAACCGGTTTGGCTCAGTGGATAGAGTGTTCTGTGGACTGAAATGTCCCAGGCTCGATTCCCGTCAAGGGCAAAAGTACCTTGGTTGCGGGCATATCCCCAGTAGGGGGTGTGCAGAAGGCAGCTAATCAATGTTTCTAGCTTCCTATATCTCTATCCCTTTCCCTTCCTCTATGTAAAAAATCAATAAAATATATATTTTAAAAATAAAATAGCAAAGGTAAGACACAAATATCCCAATGTAATAGTTTATTTTATTGGAAAATAAGTGAATTATAGTAATTCAGGTAAATTGCTAGTGAGTTTCATACAGCAAAAGCTTTAACAGGAATGTTTTTAATGAAAATATATTGTAGATGTTTCACCACTCTATACCCATTTATATTCCAAATTCAGCTTGTAATACTTGTATTTTACGTTACAGTCCTCATTAAATACTTTTATAACATACACCATATCTCATTACAGGCAAGGAAATAATAAACCTTAAATCATAATGTGGAATTCAAAATCCATGCATATATCAAAACAATAAAGAATAGAATTTAATGTATATTTAGATTGCAGCTCATTTGCATTATCAGCATTCCAATTCTAGAAAACAATGAAGAACCTGCAATCATAACTTCCTTGAAAATTATTCCATAAAATGATAGTTTTCACACTTCTTCAAAAATAAAAAATAAAAATTTAATTAGATATTTACCTGTTTCTGGGTTCCAAACATATACTATACCATCCTCACTTCCAGCAAAGAGAAAAGTCCCACAAGGTGTCAAAGTACTGTGAATCTTCTCCCGATAATTTGCTGCTCCTACAAATTTCCTTGCTGCTAATCTTTAAACAAAAAAGATTTTACAAATGTGGTAAAAAGTTTTAAATATTTGATTTGCACTGAACAGTCAATTTTGGAAAATCTGCTAAGTGGGAAACATTCTAAGATGGATGCAAACTAAAGAACATAGTACTGAGCTCAGGGAGTTTAGAATTAGGAACAGAACGAAGGAATGCATCAATGTAATACAGAAAAGTGGATATAGAAAGTGCCACATAAGAAAAGAAAGAGTACTTTGTAGTACTCTTGGGTAAGAAGAATTATTTCTAGCTATTTAGAGAGACCACATTATGGAAGTAGCATTTGAGTTGGTTACTAAAAAAAGGAACAGAATTTTTGTTTTACATGTGATGAATTTTTTAAATTACACTTGATCTTGAGAAACATTAGACAGCCATATTATTAAATCACCTATTAAATATGACCAACAGGCTTCTAGCCTTTTTTCTTTTGAAAAATAGCTAACACGGTTTTAATTTAATGCTTGCTATGTGCCAGTCAGATGCTATTATCGTCCCTGGTTTACAGAGAGGATATTACATAAATGCTCTGTTATCTGCTTTTTTCTGTCAGCAAAAAATCACAAGTAATGGCCCTCCATGTCAGAATATATAGATTATGCATTATCCTTTTAATTAGGTATATGTTATATTATTGTCTAAGTGTACCTTAAGACATTTTCTATTGTTGGACAACACATGCTGTTTCCAGCTTTCACCTACCACCATGAATACTATAACAAATATTATATATATATATATATATATATATATAAAACTTTTATTTATTTTTATTGAATTTATTGGCATGACACTGGTTAATAACATTACATAAGGTTCAAGCATACAATTCTATAACAAACCATCTGTATATTTCATTGTGTGCTCACCAGCCAAAGTCTAGTCATTCCAGTATATTTGTTCTCCTCTTTATCCCCATTCCTCTCTGGTAACCTTCATACTACTGTCTAATTTTTTGCACTGTTTTATATTATCTTAACATAAATTCTGAGACTTGAGGTTGCAAAATCAAACATTTCTGCAGTCCTTGCCATCCCATATAATGAAAGCCTAATATGCAAAGTGTTCAGTCATTCAACCAGTCCCTATGACATGCACTGACTACCGGGGGCAGACGCTCTGACTGGTAGATTAGCTTGCTACTGGAGTCCAGCTGATTGGGAGTGGGTGAGACAGGCCAGACACACCCTGGAGCCCTCCTGCGGTCCCTCCACGCCCCTTATCATGCACTGGTGAGGGTCCCTTGGCCTGGCCTGTGCCTTCTCACAACCCAGGACCCCGTGTGGGATGTTGAAGAGCTGGTTTCAGCCGGATCCCCGCAGGCCAGGCTGAGGGACCCCACCAGAGCATGAATCAGTTCACTGGGCTCTAGTATGCTATATTTTAAGTACTTTACATATATAAACTAGTTTATTCCCCCCAAATTCTTATGAGTCTATGTACAGGCAGTCCTCGGGTTATGTCAGACTCGATGTATGTCGGTACGTCATTTTGTGGTTACACTGTCATCTCCCATTTATTTATTAAAAAAATAAGTTCCATCATTTCGACGTATGTACATATGTGCTTTATGTTTTTATTAGTTATTATTTTATTAAAGGTCAGGAATTGCTATCTTTCTTTTCAATTTTTTTACTGTTTCACTTCATTATTGCAGTGTATGTGCTCCATCTGAGTGACGTCGGTGCTTATGTAGGTGGGTTCCCTTTAACGGCAAAAATCGCATTATGTCGTGAAGTAGGAATGGATCTCTGATGTAACTCAAGAACCTATTGTATTATCTCTCCCATTTGAGTGATGAGAAAAGAGACACACAGGCAAATCAGCTAGCAAGGGGTAGAAAAGGTCGTATTTTATTCTAAGTTTGCCTCTGAGACCAAGCATAATCTTAATGCTGAAAACTATATTGCTTAAAAAGAGAATAACAAAATCATACAGACTAACTCCTTCTGCCTAGAATACAACTTATATTATCCCACCTCTGAACTTTATTCCAGGCTTTTCATGTTTTCCTACCGAATACACTTCCACCTTATCTAAATTCTATCTCTTTTTCAAGAGTAAGCTCCAAGGCCTGCCTCTCCATAAAGTCTATATTATAGCCACCACCTTTATTGTCAGAAAGCCTATATTATAGTCATCACCTTTATTGTCATGAAAAATGTAATCATTTTATTATATATTTATATTCATTAAAAATACATACTAAGGCCCGAGCAGGTTTTGTTTAGTGGTTAAAGCATTGGCTCTATAACTAAAGGGTCTCCGGTTCGATTCCAGTCAAGGGCATGTACCTTGGTTGGAGGCTGGATTCTGGGCCCATGTGCCAGAGGCAGACAATCAATGTGTCTCTCTCACATTGATGTTTCTCTCTCTGTGTCTCTCCCCCATTCTTTCCACTCTCTCTTAAAAAAATAATTGAAAAAATATCCTCAGTTGAGGATTAAGGAAAAACAACAACATACTGAGTAGTATTTGCTGTCTGCCAGGCATAGCATGGGTGCTATGTATAGAAAAAGAACAACCTAGAAGGTTTCAGTTTAACCTAATTAAATGTTTTGGGGGTCATTCTGGAGGCAGTACACCCTGATTGTAAACTCCTGGTGAGCTACTTCTGCTAATCATGCTCCAGCAGCACCCATGCTTTGATAATTCTACATAGATATTTAAGGGCTCACCTGTTAGCCCTAAAAGGAGAACTGCAAAATAAACTAATATAGATTACCACATTTGCCTTTCTAAAAAGCAATAATGAAATCTGATAACATAGCTTCCTCCCCAGTATTTGCTGGAACTCAATATTGAAACAAAGCACACCAGAAGTCCATGCTGACTTTCCCAGAACTCCACTTCTGCCTCTTACATTAAAGGCATTTCCCTTCATTGGCCTTTTTCAGAAATAAAACAAACAAAAAATAAGGATGAATTATTCAAAAGCCCTCTCATTCAGCTATGACACAGTATCATAACACTACGCTATAACTGTATCATAGAGATAAAAGATATTCCGTGACAGAAGTTCTTTAAAATTGTGAAAATAAAAACCAACTAACTACATTTCAACATCAAAACTATTCACCTCTTGGGCCAGAGAATTCTTTGTTGCTGGGGACCATCTTAGGAACTATAGGATACTTAGCAGCATCTCTGGTCTCCATCCGTTAGATAAACAACATTCAAAAATGTCCCCAGACACTACCAGATGTCCTGAGGGACAAAATTGTCTAGGTGAGAATCGCAGCTGCATTTTATAAATATGAATTAATTCATTACTTATTCTATGAGTGCTTATCTGTCAAAAGTGAAATATACTTACATTCGAAGATCCATAATTCTCAATGTACTGTCTTTAGTATGGATTAACAAACGTTTTCCATTGGGATGAACCTCCAAGTAATTTATTGGAATCCCCTTAAACTCACTTTCTTTAATTTCCTAAAATGATACAAAAAGGACTACATATTACCATTGTAAAGTTGTCTAATGTTAAACCCTTCTTAAAGTACAAAAGTAGAAAATTGATTTTAAGATATAATTTTTAATTATACTATACAGGATGCTTTAAAATTATTTAAAAAGATTCCCAGTAATTTAAGTTTAAGGTTAAAAACAAAGCTGATGAAATGTATTTTTTGTTTGTTATCTAACACCATGTTAATATGTCTTTGTAGTATATTCCCAAACAAGAAGCACTTCCTATAAACACATTTTTTAACACTGCAGTTTTTGTTTATCATCATGTCAGAAAGCTTCCATTCTTTAAATAAATTCAAAGTGCAGAATTAACTATCAAATTCTGTTCCAGTCTCAGTATTTCTTCACACGCTTACTTCCACTTGTTCTGAAAAAGATATACCATCAGCAAAATATTCTGAAATAATTTAATTTAGATTGTATTTTTAGGTTTTTACTTATAGTTATTTAAGGCAGCTATAGAAGACATCGAACTAATCATGTCAAGAAATACGTAAACGCTGATGAAGAATGTGCCTGAACAAGCCCTGGCCTTAATTAGAATAATGACCAAAGATCCTTCTTGTTTGGATTACCAGGAGGAAGAAAAAAATTACCAGTGCAAAACCGCTTAGAATAAAGTCCACAGAGTCTACGAGAAGTCTGCTTTAACGCATTGGCAGAATTACAAACTATCCTTCTTCCCCCTTGAGGTCTGCGTGTTGATTTTTGCCCCTTTCTCCTCGAGGGCATCCTCTTCAGCGGCGGGCTGGCCTCAGCAGAGGTAGGGTCCAAACTGCTACAATCCAGTTGAGCCTCTGCTTTGCTATTTGACACTAAGACCCGCTGTTAGCTATTTTTATTTATTTATTTATTTTTTAATTTTTTAATTAAATTATTATCTTTGTACATATACCATTGCCTCCCCCCTCCCATACATGCCCTCGCTCCCCAGAGTTTTGTGTCCACTGGTTGTACTTATATGCATATATACGAGTCCTTCGATTGATCTCTTATCTACCCCAGATCTCCCTACCCACCCCGCTGTAATTTGACAGTCTGCTTGTTGCTTTACTGTCTTTATATCTATCTTTTGGTTCTTCAGTTTATAATGCTCTTTATCATCCATAAATGAGTGAGGTCATGTGGTGTTTCTCTTTCATTGACTGGCTTATTTCACTCAGCATGATGTTCTCCAATTCCAACTAGGTTGCTGCAAATGATGAGAATTTCTTTTTTTTTTATGGCAGCATAACATTCCATTGTGTAGATGTACCATAGTTTTTGGATCCAATCATCTGCTGATGGGCATCTAGGCTGTTTCCAAATCCTGTTAGCTATTTTTTAAAGTTGCAGGAAAAGTCAAACACTGACACCACAGATGGAGACCTTACTGAGCTGAAGAACAACCATTTGAGGGGGGAGATGCACTGCTGAAGGTTTCAGCAACTGGAGTAACACTCACCCAGATGCCAATGTGCAAAATACAGAGAAAACTGTCTAGCAAATGCTAGGTACAAATTCGAGAGAAGTGCTGCCAGACTTCATGTTTGTAATATTTTCTTCCATATTTTTCTTATTTATTTTATTGTTTAAAGTATGGTTTCGGCTATATGTAATACTTTAAACAATAAAATAAATAGAATATAGAGTGTTGGCCTGGTTCAATTCCAGTCAAGGGCATGTACCTTGGTAGCGGGCACATTCCCAGTGGGGGGTGTGCAAGAGGCAGCTGATCTATGTTTCTCTCTCATAGATGTTTCTAACTCTCTATCCCTCTTCCTTCCTCTCTGTGGAAAATCAATAAAATATATATATTTTAAAAAATAATAAAGTATTACATATAGTATTAGATGTTTCCTTTTTTCCTCATTGTCCACCCCCAGCCCCCAGCACATATTTTCATCATATTCTTGCTTAAACTATAAGAGGCCTAACTGTGAAGACCTGGTTCTGTATCAAGGCAGCACACGGACACTTCATCTTAAAGGACAGAGGAACACAGCTTAGCATCCCTCACACCGCTGGTTGAAGAGAACCAGTAAGAAACTCCAGTCCTGCCAAAACCAGTTTGGCACAGTGGATAGAGCATCGGCCTGCAGACTGAAGGGTCGCAGGTTCGATTCCGATCAAGGGCATGTACCTTGGTTGCGGGCACATCCCCAGTGGGGGGTGTGCAGGAGGCAGCTGATCAATGTCTCTCTCTCATCAATGTTTCTAGCTCTCCATCCGTCTCCCTTCCTCGCTGTAAAAAAATCAATAAAAAAATTAAAAAAAAGAAACTCCAGTCTCTGTCTCATCCTGAAGCATTAAATACAAAAAAAAAGTCCAGCTTATTTCCTAACTTTTGACTCTCAAATAATCACACCAGGCTGCAGATTTTCGAGGTAAATTTTCCTTTTGGTTAATACACTGAGGTAAAGAAACACATGCTTTTTAACACACACAGACTCTGCATTATAGACTCAGATTACTGAAACTGGTGCCTTCAAGGACTGGCCAATCCTGCAGATATATATAAGTAATTAGAATTCTTTTCAAATTGTGTGAAATTAAGGTACATCATGAATCCCAAGCCATCATCATTAATCTGATGATTTAAAATAGATGGTTTATTAAACAGATCTGATAGACTGAAGAGACTTAACTAAAGTTCATGAAAATTCTTTTACATGTACAGTGACTTTTTATTACACAAGGACAATTATTATAACCTATTATGATGAATAATAAATTGAAACAAATTACTACTTATAGATGGTAATGTAATATAATATATACTCATTTTAGCATAAATTTCAGTAATGAAGCTCTGAATGCCACACTGCAAATTAGAGCTCAAGAAAATTAAAGGAAAGTCTGGCCAAAATAAAGAAATTTTCACTAAGTTACTATATCATCAATTAGCCATCTGTTATCACAGATTAAATGGTAATTAATCCGTAATAACAGACTTTTTGAGGACTGAGAAAACCTTAATTTTTTTAAAAGAGAGAACAGAATGCCCTGATGCCTTATTTTAAGGCCATGTTGTTGAATGTTTTTTCTAATTTCTTTAATGAATGAAATGTGGTTTTCTACCTTATTTATACTCCAGTGGCGCACTGAATGCTGCAAATCATTAGCTTTGATGTAGGTATTCCAAACAACAATCACCCCCAAGCAGTCTCCCGAATACATGTGATGACCTATTTAAGAAAATAAAATTATTCACTGATTAATGTTATGCAGAGGGTAGAGAGAAATATTATCAAGTTGGGAAAAAGCATTTCAGTAAAACAAAGAATCCTAGGACTACCAGAAGGTATTTCAATTTACAGAGCCAGAAAACCAAACACAACTAACACTCAAATCCTAATTATCTTTAAATGAACTTTTCACTTAAATTATTTTTGATGACTTTTTCCCCTTTGGATTTCCCTGATTTTAATACAAAAAGAAATGAGCATCACAGAACATATTTACATTGCTCCAATTCCAAAGCCAGACAAATTATCTGAATTATCCAATATGTATCTGTATTGCTCAACCTACATAATTTATGTTATATTCCTAGAAAAGCACCTTTATTCTAATACATACTGTTAGCATAATGCCCGAAACCCAGCAGGTACTCAATGATCAGAGAATGAATAAAATAAATAATAGGTGTTCCAATTTAACATTAATTCTTTTTTAAATTTTCATTTATTTATTTATTTAGAGAAAAATAGGGGGGGGGGGCGTAGCAGAAGAGAGATGGATAAATATTGATGTGTTGTTCCAATTATTCATGCATTCATTGGCTGGTTCTTTTTAAAAATATTTTTTTTTATTGATTCCAGGGAGGAAGGGAAAGGAAGAGAGAGAGAGAAATATCAATGATGATAGAGAATTATTAATCGGCTGCCTCCTACATGCCTCCCACTGGGGATCATGCCTGCAATCTGGGCATGTACCCTTGACTGGACACTTCAGTCCATAGCTCAACATTCTATCTACTGAGCAACACCGGCCAGGACAACTGGCTGATTCTTCCATGTGTCCTTAGAGGGCATCACACCCATAATCATGGTGCACTGGGATGATGCTCTAACCTTTTGAGCTGCCCACCCAGAGAAACATTAATTCTTAAAGTCAACCCATCTTAAAGTTGAATGGAACATTAGAGACCATCAAGCTCAATTTCATGCCCACTCAGAAATATTTTACACACCATTTTGAACAGATGGCCATTCAGAAAGTAAATTTCATATTTTAAGAAGTAGCATATTTAAATGATAAAGTGTTCTATGTATTAGGGTGCTTTTTTTCCAATTCTGAGCAAAGAAAATCCGTCTTCTGTAGCTTTGGCTTTATCTTTATCCACTTGAGCAACATAATTTAGGCAAGTAATGAAGAAATTCTTCATCTCCCTTTTTTAATCTGAGCTACTTCTATAATGACAGTTTTCAGATACCTTTCTATCACTGGCTGACTTTTCTGAATATGTTCCAACATATTAACAGCCTGAGAGTTGAACAGAGTACATTAGTAGTATAACTTTAATCTGGGCCCATACTAATTAATTATAGCTATAGTCTACATATCTAGTGTCTTAAATAATGTAAAAAAAAGTGACTATTTGATAGATACACATTCCTCTATTTTTTCTGTTAATAAAATAATCTATATTTTATATCTGTAAATCACCATCTAAACTATTCATATATTAAGATAAACCTTTAAGTAATTGCAAATTTCCCTTCTATATCTTCTGAATTAAAAAAATAATAATAATGTTGGTACATTTAAAATTTATATTTTCAATATTCTTTTGGGATTTTTCTCTTCATCTTCTTTGCACCATTTAACTTAAAAGGCCATTTTTAAAAAAGTACTAAGGGGATAATCACCAACCCAAAAAATATAGGTAGTTATGAAATTTTGAAGATGCCTGGTTGTTACAGCAAAGATTAGTTAAATCTAAATGTTTAGGAACTTAATGACTTCAAAATTACAAACACAACTCCTTTAATGCCAAATCTATGCCCAGATCTATCATATAATCTGCAAAATATGTATAAATCTCAGTATACACAAATAATCATCAATACATAAACTCCCTCCCATGCTTAAATATTTATTAACCTAGTAAGTTAAAGCAAACTTTAATTCTTCATACAACTAGCTGTAATTTGGAATATGTTAACTGACATACCTTCAGTATCAAAACAGAGAGAGTTGATGAAACTCTTGTGAGTGTCAAACTGCCGGATCAATATGGCAGGATCCTCTTTCATATCAACTTTCCATATCCGTACCACAGCATCGTAACATCCTGTAACCACCAGCTCTTTTGCAGCTGGGTGGAACTTAGCCGTGTAGACAAAACAAGGATGAGGTAAAAGTTTGAAAGTATTTGTATTGTTTATTTCATTTTTCCATACCCTAGAAAAGGATAAAAAGTTATATGTTGCTTCTAAAAGACAAAAGTTTCTTTAAAAGTTTCTCTAGGAACCAGTAGAGCCAATGGGATATATGTAAGCAAGTGACAATGATAAGCTAAATTTAAATTTTGTAACTAAAAATTAACCTAATCACATTTGATGGCTGGGGTTCTTTACATTTGACAAAGCTATTATTTACAGTTATTATCAAGTATAATGATGAGTTTGTTTACTAATTATAATCTATACTATCAAGTTAAAAACTGTATTTGTCTTTTTAAAATCTATCTACTTTTGACATTGACTAAAAAATACACATCAAATAATTGGTAAAATATACATTTAGTACAATATACATAAAAATAAGATACTTTAATAATTATTTTTAATGATTTAATGGGGAGAAACTTTAATGATTTCTCATTTAGGTTATGATTATGCTTTTACAAAGTACTTACTAGTGGAGGGTTAGATAATAGGATACTCTATTAACTTTATATTAGTAATATAGGTGGTAAACATGAAGATCTCGATGACCTATAAGCCATAATAAAATTTCTATATAAATACTTTAGTAAAATAAGTTAAAATACCAGAAAACAGACAATTCAATATGAAGCACTCTCATTATCTCTACCTATAAATAATGGATAATTAAAAATATTAACATTATTATCATTGCTATAGTCATGACAAAAGAGTAAACTCTATGGGTTAAACTATTATGTCAATTCTAATCAATGTGTAAAAACAAGTAAAATCTAGCAACCGACAGGTGCTATATGAGTGTGGAATACTGCATTTATAAAAGATTAAGTTACTAGAATTTGAAGAATACACTAACCTTTAAATATGGGGATTCACAATACATCTTTTTAATTACTGCCTAAGAACTAATGAAAATTAAGTCAATAAAAAAAATACAGTTGCTGTTCAAGAATAACATTCTATGAATTTTCTCAGCATCTGCTTAATTTCACTGTAAATTGAAGGCAGTCATCTAATGAAAATAGGAAGAGTGTGGTTAAGTGGTGAGCACTTGAAGCATGGAAAGGTTTAGATCTGCTACCAGAGAAAGAATAGCTGAATAAAGATGAGTAAAAGGACTGCTTGGGAAAGATGAAAACTAAGTGATTTTCAGATCGACAAGTCCAGTAAAGTCTTAGTAAGATTGCATGTTTTTCTCTGGCATAATCTGGCATCTGACAGAACAGCTACCGGTATGCCATTCTTGAGGACCCCATTAAGAGTGACTAATAGTAGTAGAGTCCCAGCTAGGCAAAGAGGTAAAAATCCATTGTCACCAGTTGTCATCTATTTCATCTATCTATATAAAAGCCTAAGCAACCATCGCAATTGAACGCACAACTGAACAGGCTATGTGGGGCGAACAGGCTGTCAGGGGGGTTAGAAAGGGACAACCAAATGACCGAGCAGCAGGCTGTGTGGGGCAACCAGGCCAGCAGGGGCAGGGCAGTTGGGAACCATCAGGCCGGCAGGCAGAGGCAGTTAGGGGTGATCAGGCTGGCAGGTAGAGATGGTTTAGGGTGATCAGGCAGGCAGGCAGGTGAGTGGTTAGGAGCCAGCGGTCCAGGATTATGAGAAGGATGTCTAGCTGCTTGTTTAGGCCCGATCCCAGGGAGACTGCAGGCTGGACTGAGGGGACCCTTCCTCTCACTCGTGCACAAATTCCATGCATGGGGCCTCTAGTTTAAATATAAACAAACAGTAATGATAACATCTTAATCAATTAGACATTTTATATTGAAAAGGAAGCTGATAAGATTAGTAGAAAAGGGGACCCAGATATTAGAAGTATCTGTAAAGAGTGTATTTAAATGAACAGGAAGCTTAAGAGTGAAATCAGAGTGGATCTCAAACTGCTCTAAATGTGAATTTTCTAGTCTGTAGAGATAATAAATACCATTTGTTGGAATCAAATTTAAAGGACATATTTAAGCCCTAGCCAATTTGGCTCTGTGGTTAGAGTGTCAGCCTGCAGATTAAAGGGCAGTGGGTTCAATCCTGGTCAAGGGCACATAACTCGGTTGCAGGCATAATCCGCACTCCCGTAGGAGTGTGAGGGAGGCAACCAATCGATGTGTCTGTCTCATGATGTTTCTCTCTCTCTTTTCCCCTCCCTTCCACTCTCTCTAAAAATCAATGGGGGGAAAATATCCTCAAGTGAGCATTAACAACAACAACAAGAACATTTATAAAGGACATATTTACAAGCATTTTAAACAGCTGCCTAACAATATTTTTAGATACAACCAAGGCAGATCAAGCAGCTACAAAAAAAATGTAAATGTAACTTTAAAAAAAAATAGCTCTTAGAAAAAATAGCTCTTAAAATATTCTATTGTGAAACTTATTAAATTGAGAAGGGTTATTTTAAGACTCACATTTGGAAAAACACAAATATCTGACAAGCTATATAAAGTTTTTAAAACATAGGTGATATTCATTTATTTACCCTACACTATGTACTGAGCACCACTGTGTCCTGGGCTCTGTATCCAGCTAAGAGTGAACATGGAATCCTTACCATCAAGAGCTTATATTCTAGGAAATATTCCAGATGTTTAATAACTTCATCTCAAAACATTAATTCAACAATGTACATAATGATCATTTAATTATATATCACATAAATAAAATGTATTTTGCAAATATGTCTTCAAGAAAGAAGTTTTCACAACTGCTTATTTAATTAATCAACAATACTGATAATCCCTTGATAAACAAACATATTTGAAACATAAGAGTATTCTATCACTTTATATTCTCTTTGCTTTTCTTGATGGCAAACAGCGCACACATTGAATACTACACAAATACACTAACCTGGCAGTGCCATCAGATGATGCAGTAAGGATACAGTGATCATCCTTTGACCAGCAGAGATCATAAATGATATTTAGGTGGCCATACAATTTTCTCATGAAACGTCCAGAAGGAATTTCATATACTAATGAAAATATTAAAAAATTAGTAGGTTTCCAGAGGATCCTTAATACAGTAATATACAAATTCATAATTTATAATAGTTTATAAAGTAAGCACTGTCTCTAAGAATATGACCAAAGATTTTCAGTATAAAACATCTCAAAATCTACTCACAAATAGTTCTTCACTTGTTTTAGACACAAGAATTTACACATAAAATTTTATATATACTACAATTAACAATTACTCTCATTTCTCCAAAGCAATTTTCCTTATATCTTTGATAGTCAGTTAATCATATAATAAATAACATTTAAATTACAATTTAGTTAAAAGATTCTATAATTTGGGCTTTTATTAAAGAGGTATTATTTTACCTAAAAATTGATTAAATTTTATTTGAAGTAGCCAAAACTTTATTTGAAGTAACAAGAAATTTAAATTGTATTATTGTCAGAAAAAAATTCTGACACTAAAATTTTAGATTTAGTAAAGGAATTAATAGGCAACCAATTTGATAAACAGTATAGTATTGCTATATTAATGTACACAATAACATCATCTAAGACAGCAATTTTCAACCTTTTTAATCTCATAGCACAGAGAAAGTAATTGCTAAAATTCTGCAGCACACCAAAAAAATATATTTTTTGGCCTATCTGACCAAAATTATAGGTATACTTTTGATTCATTCACATTGGACTGCTATTGTTGTGTGGGCTGGTGTCATTTTTAAATTTCACAATCTAAGGGTAGAGAGGTCAATGGCCCTGACTAAATAGTTAGGTATTACATGTTTTAAAAATTCTATCGGCACACAAGTTGAAAAATCACTGATCTCAGATAATGAATTTAACAGACAACAAAGTTTCCAAGTCTCTACTTCCGCCTAGTGGTCAAACTAATTGCACTTAAGATAAAGCTGTACAGAAGTACTTCTGGCATAAGTAAAGACTGTGTGCTTGGAGGCTAAGGATGACTAGTGAAAGTATATTCCAATATCATACTTTCAGAACCTCTCAACTCAAGGCATTTTTAAAAATCTCCCTTTAAGCGTTAGCTGACTACTAAACTAACCAAACAGAGACTTCAGTGGTAACACATGACAGAGGCAAAAGACTACAGACTTAGTCCAGAAAAGTCATAAACAAACAAAACAACATATCCTGATTGACTAGAGAGAGTGGGGGAAATGAATGCCAGAGCTGCCATACTTCAATATTTAAAGTACCCAGTTTTCGACAAAAAAATTAAGAGGGTGTGAAAAGAAAAACGAAACAGAAAAGTATGACCATACACAGACAAAAAGCAGCCAACAGAAACTGTTCCTGAGGAAGCCTTAGTCTTCCCTTTAAATCCATGCTTATAAAGATGTTCAAAGATCTAAAGAAAACAATGTCTAAAGAATTAAGGTGTGAGAATTTCTTATTAATAAAAAAACAGAAATTATAAAAACAGAACAAACAGTAATTATAAAGTTGGAAAGCACAATAACTAAAATAAATCACTGAGGGGCTCACAGCAGATTTGAAGTGGCAGAAGAATCAGGTCAATCGAGAGATTATGTAGTTTAAGGAACAGAGAGAAAAAGAATAAAGAAAAACAAATGAAAATGCAGAGGCTGTGGGACACCATCAAGTGTACCAATACAGAAATTACAGGAGTCCCTGAAGAAGAGAAGAAATATAAAGAGGTAGAAAGAACACTTAAGAAATGAAGACAAAAATATTCCTAAATTTGTGAAAAACATTAATTTGCATATTCTACAAACTAAACAAATTCTAAATAGACATCATAATCAATCAAAAATTTAAAAAAGGTTCTATATTTTAAGATTTAAACAGTAAGTAAAGGTAAATTTATATAGCATTTTGAACAAGATTTTTTAAGCATAAGTAGCACATATTTGTCACAGAAGTGTCAAAAACATATAAATAAAAATGAAAATAATTTTTCCATTACCACAAAGAATGAAATCACTATTAATATTCTGGAGTATGTTTCCTAAGAATCTTTTTTCCCCCTATGCATAGGTTTTGGTGAATTTTTAAAATAACATAGCTGTAATCAGACTACACAAATAATTTTGTATTTTTCAAAACTAACATTATTTCATAAGGAAGAATATTTATTTAATAAATGCTCATCAAGCTGATTACAAGTCCCTGATGAAAAAAAACAAATCAACAAAGAAATAACTGTGTGAAGCTGAGGAATGTTCAACCGGATAGTGCTTAGAACAGACACCCATGAGGAGCTGAGGTAAGCTGGTTTTTATTACTAAGCAAGAAAGGAAAATAGCAATGTTTTTATGTCTAGAAGAGCATGATAATGCTCATATATATAAAATCTCTGAAAAGATATAGATATTTCTTAACATAGTTTCCTATAGTTTTAAAGGCACATTGAGAATGGATTTTGGCCTTTCTGCTGATGTCTCTATCGTAATAAGAAGTCTCAATTCAGGTCCTCTAAGCCAATTATTATTATTATTCTAATGCATTACAAATTTGAAGACTTTCATAATTCAAATTATTACTGCTATTGACTGACTATACTAGACTAAAATTCCTCCTGAGATTTATTGTCCTTTTGGTTCTAAATTTGTATATTTAAAATATAAAATGCTTACAAAAATCCTCCTGCATGTTTTAAAATAATTTACCATTCTTCAGTATACATCTGAAAACATACTGTATAGAAAAGTGTAAAATTCTACTTCTGAAAACATACTGTAGAGAAAAGTGTAAAACTCTACTGAAAACATAGTGTAAAATATTAAAGAGAACTGTTACTTTACTTGAAGAAATCTATTAATTTAGTAGTGCTGGGGGATTATTCAAATTAAAGTTTCAATGAGTTTTAAAAACCAAAGACCAATAAAGACCAATAAAATTAATCAAATAGGATTATTACTCACAAATAATTGGATATCCATCTCGGCTGGCACAGGCTGCTGCTAATATTCTTCCATTGTGAGAAAAAGAAAGACAGAAACATCCTCGTTCTCCTGCATTTAGTGAGAAGAGGTGCTTGTTTGGGATACGGCAAGCCTAAAAAACATATATTTAAAAAACAAATTAAGAAACATTAAAATATGAAGGCTATTTGTTAATTTCAATGACTGTAGTTGGTGTTAAGTCCCTTTATAGTGATTGAGAGGAAGAGAAAAGCAAGTAATCAGAATGATGAAAAACCACAGTAACTTATTTTACTGTCTGAAGAGAAAAACTAATTCTCCATAAAATTAACTGAATTTATACTCCATATCTAACTCATACTTAATTCACCTAAAATGAGTAGAAAATTTCAATATCTTACACTCCAAAGCGGTCACTACCCTATAGCTTTTATATAACCACACAAAAAGATGTATTTCACACTCTTATTCCATGACAGCAACTAATATGTGATGTTTGCTGAGCCATAAACTTGTTCTGAGACCATAAATGCCTTTAGGGCCTAACTGAAACCCAGGATGTGTAATTCATTCATTCTCTCTCTTTTTATCTCTTAAAATAACCTTCATTTGTGGCTACCTTCCAAAATGTGTTTCCAAAGTAATGAATCACTTCCTATTGGTTTCTGATTCACTAATTTATTAAAATTTCTTCAGTAATTTTTGTCTTCATTCCCTATTAGCAGATGAAACCAAAAATTTTCATGTATTAATACCTATTGTTCTAATTCTGCCTCTTCTAAACTTCAGTGAGTTTTAGTTCCTATATTTCTTATTATTCTAAAAGTTTAATTAAACATACAAATATATTGGGCCCTTACTATATGTCAAGAATGTGGTATTTTATTACACATGTGTTTTCATATATTCATCACAGCAACCCTATGAGTGACCATTATTACTGTATATTATGAATAAAGATTATTCATGAGCCTCAACGGGCTTAATGAGCCTCAACAAAGACTATTAGTTCAAGAGACTGCATTCAAGATAGGTACCAGGTTTTTCACAAGTAGTATCAAGATTTAGCAGCATTATTAGGAGGTAGCATTATGAGTAGCTACCTGGAAGGTGAAAAATTCAGTATACATTTATTAGGTGCCTATAATGTACCAGGCACCATGCTACCCATTTCCTCCTCCATTCTCCATCTGAAAAGGAAGATGAGGCTAAAAAAGAAAAAAACTGAAGGAAAAGTCAGGAGGTTTTACAATCAGATGCTGCTGCTCCCAGGAAAACTGCCTGATAATCTAAGCTAAAATCACTGAAAACCACTATCATTTTCTTTCTATGTCCAGGGTTTGACACTGTATTTAGAAAAGCCAATGAAAGTTTCACAGCAATAAAGGGCTTCAACATCTTTGACTCTTTCCCCTTCTTTACTATCTTGTCAGTCGCTAAATTATGCTGAACCATTCTTTCTTTCTTATATTTATTTCTTATTTTTCATTTTTGTCACCATTATCCCAAGGTTACACTCTTTCACATCAATGATTGCAACTACCTGCCATCTGGTAGATTTCTCTCATTCTGATGTATCCTACTTCAAGATCTCCTCTATGCCACTGCCAGTACTAATCTGTCCTAAAATATGATTGAGACAATATTTCTCTCCTATGCAAAAATCTACCATTAATTTCTCACATCCCACACAATCATATATTAGGCTATCATTCAACACACTCCACAACATGGGCCTGCCTAATCTATCATACATCCCTATCTCTTTTACAAACTCTCATTTCCAAGCCAGCCAAGTTTTTGAGTGCCTGATGAATACCTCAGTCCTTTCCCACCTATTTACAACTTTGCCCCCAGATGAAATACCTTTCCCTAGCCTTCTTCACCCACCCCTAATTTGGCCATCCTTTAAAGTGTACCTCAAGCCCGGCCAATGTTGCTCAGTGGTTGAGCATCAACCCATGACCCAAAAAGTCCCTGGTTCAATTCCCATTCAGGGCACATGCCTGAGTTGCCAGCTTGATCCCCACTGGGGGGTGTATGATGGGGCTAGATCCCCAGTGGAGGTGTACTCCTTTCAAAAAAAAAAAAAAAAAAAAAAAAAAAAGGCCAAAACAAACACCAAAAATAACATATCTTTTATCTTTAATTTTAAAAAATGATTCTCTCTCATTGATGTTTCTATCTCTCTCTCCCTCTCCCTAAAATCAATAAGAAGAAAAGGTTGTCAAAAGTGATGCAAAATATAGACAATGAGAAGCTCTGGGAAAACAATCATCCTTATGTATATACTGAATGTTTGCATAAGTTGAGATTTTACATAAACTGCATTGGTATTAGCTCAGACTTAAAATAAACCACTCCACTCTTTGTGGAAACAAGTAAGTGATTTACAAAACTGTATCAGCAATGCTTCTCGCTACTGCAAAATATACTAACCAAAGTAAGAAAAATTTAGTACAAGTTTAAATACTGCTCCACTTGTGGTAGAAGAATATACATTATACATATCTCCACCAAAATGTGATTAAGGAAGGAGCCAGGGACTGCAAAAACATTTTATGAATACATTAAGAAAACATTTAAAAATAATAAAATCCATTAGTAGACATAACTTTTATAGACATAAAAATGTATGCTTTTTATTTGTTATAGGCTGAAATGTTTAAAATTCATTTGTTAAAGCCTCAACCCCAGTACCTCAGAATGTAATAGTATTTGGAGATAGGTCTTTAACTAGCTCAGGAGTGAGGAACGTCCAGCCCACAGGCCGTAGGAAATTATTTTGTTTGGCCCTGCCAATGCATTAGGGGTGAGTTAATTAAATGTTTGACCAAATATAGCAGGCTAATTTTTAAATTGATTATTTTCCCCATAAATGATGTTATAAATATCCAAATGGTCCTTGTCAGAGTCAGAAAAAAGGTTCCTCACCCCCTGAACTAGCTGATTAAGTTAAAATAAAATTGTTAGAGAGGATCCTGGTTAGAAGAGGAAGAGACACAGGAGTATACAGGCAATGGGAAAAGACCATGAAAGGGCAGCAAGATGGCAGCCATCTGCCAGGCAAGAATAAGGCTTCAGAGTAAACAAACCCTGCCAATCCTCAATCTTGGGACTTCCAGTCCACAGAACTATGAGTAAATAAATTTCTGTTGTGTAAGTTAAGCAGTCTGCACGGTTTTTGTGTGTATTATTTTTTTTTATGGCAGTTCTAGCAAACTAATAAAACTGTCCCATTCCTAAACAAACAACCTAGATAGTGTTTTTATGCAAATGATAAACACTCTATCATTACTTGTCAAGTGAATTATTGGAAAGACACTGTGTGATTATAAATAAGGGTAATCTGAGAGTTTTAAATAGCAACCTAAGGAGCGGCTGGGGAGTGTTTACTAGGAAATAAGTAGATACCTAAATGAACCCAACATTGAACACTTCACCTGCCCAGGCAGTCGTTTCCACTTCACTACTTCCTTAGAATCTTCTAGTCCAGGTTCTGTGTCTATTGCGCTTGACTCACGCTGCTGCTCACAATGCACTGGTTTACCTTTTTCCTCCTGAAGAGCCACCACAGAACGGTAAGACGGCTTTACCTAAATATGTAAAGAAAAGTATATATCCTATTAATTTTTTTTCTCTTTTCTAGCATAGATGGTTTTTAAAATACTAAAACAGACAATATGAAAATGTAATCCAGAAAAAATTGGACTTTTATTTGCACATTATTCTAAGTAACGTGAAAGTTGCTTGAAATTACTGTCCTATAATCAAAAAGCCTTAGAAGCTGGGAGAAGAGAGAAACAAACAAACAAACAGAACTCAAGGGATAATATGATACTGTTTGAATAACTCTGTTCCTTTGTTTCTGCCTCTTCACCAACACCTATCAGATGTTATGTCATGGCTCTGATATAAGATGGTATCTCTGGCTTTAATAACACAAAACTGATATCATTAAGATCTAAATTTTTTTAAATCTTTCATTTCTTAAAAATAGATTTAACTCAAATCAATGCAAACCAACTCTGTAATCATAGTTTATAATATTAACTACAGAATATGCAACTGTCCTGAAATATGTTACAGCAAATAAGACAAAAGCAAAAGTTTCAGCTCCTTTTAGGATATATTCTTTGCTAAGATGATTATAATGTTTTAAATTAAATGTATTGAGGGTGAAATTGATCAACCAGGTTTCAGGTGTGGGTTTCTATGTCATAAGACCTATATAATACACCATGCGCCCACCACCTGAAGTTAAATCCCATCATATATATTAGGACCCCATATATAATGTCACCATACATTAGGACCCCTTCTAGATTATTATCTATATATAATAAAAGCCTAAGATACCCCCCTTCCAACAGCTATGATGCACACTGACCACCAGGGGGCAGACGTTCAATGCAGGAGCAAAAACCACAGGCATGGAAACATGGTATAGACTGATGAATCTCAGAGGAAAGAGGGGAGAGAGGACGGTGGGAAGAGATTAACCAAAGATCTTACATACATACTAGAGGCCTGGTGGACAGATTCATGCACCCGTGGAGTCCCTCTGCCTGGCCTGTGGGGATCAGGCCAGAACTGGCTCTCTAACACCCTCCTAGGGATCTCGGATTGTAAGAGGGCACAGGCCAGGCTGACGGACCCCACCAGTGTACGAATCTGGGTCTCTGGGAATTTTACATATGGAAAATAGAAGCAGAAATACTGTTTACTAACTATTAAATAATATTGTGAAGAATGTGCTAGTAAATCATAGCCCAGGTCTGCAAGCTATAGCCCAGGTCAAATCTATCCTGCTGGCTCTTTTTTATAAATAAAGTTTTATTGAAACACATTTTCAAATTGTTTTGTTATCACTTATATATGTATATGTAGCTACTTTCATGCTACAAAGGCAAAGCTGAGTAATTGTAACACAGACTATAAAGTTTGAAAAGCTTAAAATATTAACTGTCTGGTCCTCTATGAATAATACTTGTCAACTCCTGCTTTACATAATTCTTTTCTCTTTGATTTTTAAAAAACAGTATTATTGCCATGGCTGGCCGGGTGGCTCAGTTGGTTGGAATGCCATCCTGTACACCAAAAGGTTGCGGGTTTGATCCCTGTATGGGGCTCATATTGAGAGGCAACCAATTTATGTTTCTCACATCAATGTTTCTTTCTCTCTCCCTTCAACTCTCTCTAAAATCAATAAAAAGACAGCAAAATAAACATCAAAAATAACACAGACTCAGGTGAGGTTTAAAAACACAAAAACACCACATTTTTTTAAATAACAACACATTTTTCCTAACAATGAAATCTGTATTTATTATTTAAAATTCATGTAAGTATATTTTAAGTATCAGCTATTACAGGATAAATACATCATCTTATACAAATTCATTAAAATAATTCTAGAGATCTTACATTTTAGAAATGGAAAACATGCTACCATTTAATCTCAACAAGAGGACACACGCTTGCTTACATGTGTTATTAACTTACACATTCTGGAACTTTCAGTCCTCTTACAGTCACATACAATGTGGACGGATAATGATTTCTTGGACATTTTAACCACCATTCAAAAACCTCAACAACATTTGCATGGGGTCGAGGCTTAGGAGGTGGATAGTACAGCTGCAAGCGAAGTTTTGAATTGATGTTTACATTTCCATTGGCTCCTAGAAGCTTAAAATAAGAGTGCAAGTAACACTTTATGTTCATTGACAATAGAGGAATCAGATAAAGCAATAGTATATAGTCACAAACTCATTCTAAAAAGATGAATATGGCATACAGAAATTCCTTAAGGTTTCCAAAGCAATGGAAACAACATTGACACAGTTGGCTAACCACAGTTCCAAGTCACTTTGACAAAAGGTAATTCCAATAAGGGACTTTAAATTAAAATATTTTCCTGACAGTTATCTTTTTGCCCATACAACTTCAGATGTTGGTAAAAAAAAAAAAAAATTACATTACTTTCCACATAGAAGGTGGTCAATATACCTTTAAGATAACAATGATAAAAATCAAATATATATTATTTAAACACAGAAACACATTTTCCATTTATTTAGTATCAGTATTTTTAATGGTAAAATCTTATGGTTTTGATTTTTTAAAATTCAAAACCATTTTCAAATAGTAATTAACATGGTTAAACTTATTAAACCCATTCATTACATTTAAAAAATGTTTTAGTCTACCTTCTTCAAAAGGATCTAGTTGGTCCTGGCCAGCATGACTAGAACAGTGACTGGCACACAGAAAGAGCTTAATTAATATTTGTTAAGTTGAATAAATGACAACAGAGCTGTGTGTTTCTTTTTTATGCTGTATCCTTACAGCCCAATCATGTACCTGGCATAAACTAAGCACTCAATAAATGTTTAAGAATCTGAATGAACATCACCCAACCTTAAATTAATAGCTCTACCACTGAAATCTTACTTTAGATCATAACTCCTTATATGAAACCAAAGTAACTTGGGGAAAAGCAACCAATCAGATTAGAAGATTATTTTAAAGTCTATGAAACAGAATAAAAACATACCTTGAGAAATGCCCATGCAATTTTCCGAAAGCCACATTCCTGGTTTTGAATTTCAGAGTTATTCCTAATTTCATCCATGCTTAAGAAATCAAGAATCTGTAAATAAATATTTTAAAATTACTTCACAGAAGCCTAGGCTACCTAAAGTTTAATATTTTCTAATAATATATTATGAAAATGGGAAAATCATTTGTTCATTTTAAAGTTTTCTTTATAGGGAGAAAAAATATTTTCATCTAATTTCACTAACCTTTAAATTAATTCATACTGTTAGTGAGGTCCATTTTTAAAAAATATATATATTTTATTGATTTTGTACAGAGAGGAAGGGAGAGAGATATAGAGTTAGAAACATCGATGAGAGAGAGTCATCAATCAGCTGCCTCTTGCACACCCCCCACTGGGGATATGCCCACAACCAAGGTACATGCCCTTGACCGGAATCGAACCCGGGACCCTTCAGTCCCCAAGCCGACGCTCTATCCGTTGAGCCAAACCGGTTTCGGCGTGACGTCCATTTTTTAAAAAGATTTATTTAAAATCCAAGACAAAATACTAGTTGCCTTAAATATAGTCTTGGCACAAATACTAGTACACAAGGTTTAGAATACTTAAACTTTGATCATTTTTTAATGCATGAGAGCAGACTTCGAAGGACTGTTTATTCAAAAACTCGTGGTCTTATTTGTCTCTGAGTCTTTCCTTGGGTCATCTTCCTGAAATAGGGAATTTTCTCTTTGTATAAATGTTGTAGTTGGGCTTCTCAAGAAAATTTCTTTCACGTATCTCCATCCTGTCTGGATGCCAAAGCTCATGGAATTACTACCAACCTGCCACAGAGACTATCTATATTCTAGGTACTTGTCAAAAAGTATCACTTTGAACTTACTGATATTTATCAAAAGTTCAGCTGAGGTAACAAATCTTTAGAGAAGAATGCTGTAAAAAATAATATGAACTCCACTCATCCCTGTTCTTTATATTCTTAAACCTGTCTTCAGGTGTAATACATGCTCAGTGAAAAAATACTGACAATATAAAAAAAATTACAAAGTAAAAACAACTTGCAATCCAGATTCAGAGATGATCAACATTAACATCTACATGTTTACAGGTTTACACACATCTAAACCTTTCTCTGTGCATTCCTAAATATTTCTATATTACTACTACAAATCAAATGCTATTTCATAAACTATTTTGATATGCTAAATTGTGGATATCTCTTCAAGTCAATATGTACATATACCATGTGTTACAAATACCATAAATTAAATAAAAAACCATAATTTATTTAAACAAACCTCTTACTGATTGAAAAGACCTATCTAAAATTTTTGCTATTATAAACAGTGCTTAGGTAAATACCCTTGCACATACATCTTTGTATAGTTATCATTTTTCCCTTAGTAGAAATAATTAGAGGTGCAATAAATTTTAAATACTTCTGGTAGATATTATCAAGTTGTCCTCAAAACACCCTTAAGAAGTAGAAATCAAAAATTAGTTTTGGCCCTCGCTGGTTTGGCTAAATGGACAAAGTGTTGGCCTGCAGACTGAAGGGTCCTGGGTTTGATTCCAGTCAAGGGCACATGGCTGGGTTGCAGGCTCAATCCCTGGTGGGGGGCATGTAGGAGGCAGCCAATCAATGATTTCTCTCATCATTGATGTTTCCATGTCTCTCTCCCTTTCCCTTTCTCTCTGAAATCAATATAAATATATTTAAGGGGAAAAAATTAATTTTGTAAACAATAACACATTATACTAAAACTTAAAAAGCAACCAAAAGTGTTTATAATCCAAGATTTTTCTTAAACTTCATATTACTAAAATGAATATGAGAGAATATTATAGTAACAAATGACAAATTTCTGTGACAAAGAAAAAATTCCTTCACATACAAATTATATCACTTAAAAAAAAAATCACAGCTTTGCATAAGTCATACATAATCAGATGTAAATGGTGAATATTTGCTTCCTAACCACATATAGATCACCTAAAAGTTAAAGATCATAAAAACAAGTAACTACAAAAGCAATCATTGGTTCCGGCCATGTCTTGCTCTTCCCATGCAAAAATTCCCCATCTTGCCTAAACTGGAAAATAGGTTTCCTCAACTTTCTTTTGCTTATGGAGAGATAACATGAATTAGTTAAAAGAAATATGGTATTTAGGTTTAAGCTAACTTCAAATACAAATTACCTGCACTTAAAATTGGAATAACTGGAAAAAAAAATCACTTTATACTTAAAAAAATTACTTTACATTCTTTGATTTCCTTTGCAGTAAAAAATTTGAATAGCATGTCAGCTCAAAGGCCATTTACTCTATAAAGCTTTCCTTAACAGATCAGACCCTCCAACTAACCTTCACATCTAAAAAGTTCTACTTCATTTGGTTATATATTTCATTGTATTGGTCAACAATATGTGTATGTTCACCTTTTTCTCTTAGTAGTATACAAACCCTTAGGAGTCTGGTATTGAGTTTACACTTTATGAAATAAGTTAAGAATGTAGAATTACATAGATACAGATTAGATTCAACACTTCAGTTAATAGTCATTGCATTGTTGTAATTATTAAAAAAAAAAAAAAAAAAGTAAATCCAATGACTAAATACTTGCACTAGTAAATGCTCAACAAATATGCTATTACTTGTATCTCCACTGCATGTTATAACACTAAATAATAGAAACTAAATTCTCACACTATTTGGTTGTATATTAAACTACTAAAAACAATAGCTTACATTTTTACTATGTAATTGGCCCTCTGTATCTGTGGGTTCCACATCTGAAGATTCAACTAAACGCACATCACAAATATTTTTTTTTAAATCCCAGAAATTTCCCAAAAGCAAAACTTGAATTTGCCATACACAGAGCACTATGCTGAATCAATGTGAATGAAATGATGTGTAGGCATACTCTGCTGCAGCCTATATGCAAATATAGATTGTATGCAAATATGCAACATTTAATACTATAAGGCACTTCAGCACCCACAGATTTTGGTATCTGCAGAGGGTCCTGGAACCAATCTCCTGTGGATACCGAGATGACTATAATAACTAAAATTTAGTTTAAATTGCTCTTTTCAATTCATACCTCAAAGAACAGGATGACTTTAGGGCTTTCATCAAAATTTCGAAGCAAATAGGGAAAGTTTTCATTAAATATAATTTGTTCTTCCCACTCTGGAAGCCTTGATTTTAACTGTTTAAAATCATATGGCTGGGTCATAATAGGGAGAATATAATCCACATTGTCTTTTTCAAAGTAAGATGAAACAGGCCGTTCACTGTTCAAAAAAAAAATTTTTATTAATACAATTCTTTATAAATTTGAGAATGTGAGCAAAAATAAAAAATATGGTATTCAAAATCAGGCAACTAGAGTTAATAAATAGCCATGATTCACAAGGAAAAATTACTTTGATTGTCCATCTAGAAAATTATAAATTTTATGAGACTTAAAAGTGGTAGTACTTTTGCACTTACATACTATCAATTGGTTTCACAGAATTATTTTATTATAGAAATATAGCCGAAACCAGTTTGGCTCAGTGGCAGAGCGTCGGTCTGCAGACTGAGAGGTCCCAGGTTCGATTCCGGTCAAGGGCATGTACATTGGTTGCAGGCACATCCTCAGTAGGGAGTGTGCAAGAGGCAGCTGGTCAATGTTTCTCTCTCATTGACGTTTTTAGCTCTCTCTCTCTCTCCCTTCCTCTCTGTAAAAAAATCAATAAAATATATATATTTTTTAAAAGAATTATTTTATTATAGAAATATAAAGTGAGAGGTATGACTATACCTTCAGCATTCAAAGCTGGAATAAAATACTTCCTTCAGAATCTTAAATGAGTTTGTCATAAATAAAATAGTACAGTACATTTAAATAAAAAAATGAACACAATAGGATTGTAAACCTTTCACGGTTTATATTCCCTAAGACAACTGAATAAGTGAATGATCCTTTTGATAATTCTCATGTTTCTCATCTTGCCATCTTTCCAAGTAGATAGCTTTTTAAATTCTAGTATTATTGTTTATTTTATTGTATTTTTTTTATTTGGGTCTTCAAACACACATTAGCTATGGAAGTAATAGTAGGGATAAAATTAAATTCAAGATTCATTTATTGTTTCTGAGATCCAGGTAACATAATAACTTCAAAACAAAAATATGAAGTTAGAAAATGAATGCATTTATAGTGCAAGGTAAAACAATGCTAGTTTAATGCCATAAATTAGTCATTAAGCTTGGCAGAAACTCTCTCAACTCTCCTCCACTTAAAAATGAATCAGTAAATTAACAGATGCTCTCCATATCTCTATAAAACATACTGATTGGTGTGAATTGTTGGTGAACACCTACAACTAGTAAACTGTTCTTCAATACAAATCTATAGCTCTACTCACATTGACTTTCAATGGCAGAAAAGATGACTTCTACTATAGATACTTTCAATTCAATGGGTTGGCTGTACAATGAAAATAAAAATAAAAAAATTACCTATTATCTTTCTTGACATACTGACCAGTAATCTCATCAACCACATGAATTTTTACCATGGGGCGAGAAATCTTAAAATCTGACTTAAGTCGATCAGTTCGGTGAATGTAAACTCCTAAGACAAGGTCATCATCAAGCAAACATTTGCGATAACCTGGACTATCTCGACTTGTTATTTCATGAACACCATCATCACCATCAGTATCTTCATTATCATCTGAAATTACAAATATGGAAGAAAAGCAACACTATAATTCATTTTCCCCACAATAATATATTCAACAATGTAAGGTGAATTTTCATATAGCCTAATCTTAATGATTCGTGGTTATCTGTCTTTGTTGATAAAGAAACTTCAAGAAAAAAAATCTAGATAAGCCCAGCCAGTATGGCTTAGTTGGTTGAGCACTGTCCCATGTAAGAGGTCATCAGTTTGATTCCTGGTCAAGGCACATGCCTGGGTTGCAGGTTTGATCCCCAATAGGAGGCATGCAGGAGGCAGCTGATAGATGTTTCTATCTACCTCTCTCTTCTTCTCTCTCTAAAAATCAATAAAAATATATTTAAACAACAACAAAAGAAAAAGCCAGGTAATATTAGATAACATTCTAAGAGTAAACCACTGCATTTCCTAATATATTAAAATAAGAAATCTTTATTTTCCCTAACAAGGACTAACAACAACAACAATAACAAAAGAGAGCAAAGATAAAAAATAATTTTATCTAGTTCTTTTCCAAGTGGAATATATATCACTCAATTCATTTATAACTGTAATTTATGCTTCTGAGCAGGATATAGTAGGTCAATGCTTTTGGTAATAAAAACTTAAAAACCCAAATGAATTAAAAAGACTTTATTTTTAAAGGCATCAGAAAAGTACTTTTTTAAAGGCATGAGAAAAGTATAGAAGCAATATATAGACTAACATTCTAGGAAGGGAAAAGCATTTAGAGGTAGGCTGAAGGATTTATAGCTAAATTTTTATGTAAGTAAAGACTAATGTCTGGCCATATAAATTATTCTCACAAATTAATAAAAAAAAAAGACAGACAATTCCATTAAAAAATATACATAGAAGATCTGAACAAATTTACGAATGAAGAAATCCAAGTAGTCAAACATGAAGAAGATGCTCAACATCACCAGTTATCATGGAAATCAAATTAAAGTCAAGATGAAATATACACAACTAAAAATGGCTAACGTTTCAAAATAGTAACACCAATGTTAGTGAAAATATGGAGCAATGGAGGCTCTCAAATATGGCCTGTATCAATTGGTTGACCAACTCTGGAAAAATGGGACCTACCTATTAAAGTGAAAAGTCCACATAATCTATGACATAGTAACTCTACTCCTAAGAATCCTATTTAATAAGAGGGAAATATGCAAATTAACCTTCACTCAGTCACAAAGATAGCAGCAACCATGGCCACAAGATGGCGGCACTCAGCCCCCTCAGCCCCACCAGAGTCCCCCAATCTTGGCGAGGCGGCCACTGAGAGTGAGCAGCGTGAGCAGCCTGGCGGAATGCTTGCTTCATCCCTGCGGCAACAAGGAAAGTGTCCTGCCCCAGCCGCAAAAAGCAGCCAGGACAGTGGGCACCGAGCAGCCAGGCCTTGCAGAGAGCAGAGAACCCCAAGGAGAGGGCTTAAGCCATCACGGCTCCCAGATTAGAGAGGGTTCCCCTGAGGACTCCCAGATTAGAGAGGGTGCAGGTTGGGCTGAGGGACCCAGACCCCATGTACAAATTTCGTGTCCCAGGTCTCTAGTATGCTCAATAAAAATGTATGCATATGCTTGCCAAAATACATGACTAGGATATTCATTACAGCTTTATTTGTTACCACCTAAAACAAGAAACTCAAATGTCCATCAATACAACAGGTAAATTAATTGTGCTATATTTATACAATGGATATCTCTACAGTACTAAAACAGAACTGACCATGAATAAGCATGCAATAATAACATAAATGTCACAAAAATAATTTTGAGTGAAAAAAGCCAGACACAAAAAAGCATAGTACTTAAGATTCTATTTATTTGAAAGTAGAAAAGCAGGCAAAAACAAACTATGCATTTATTTTTTATGTCTAGACAGTGTTTGTATTTACTTCTAAAGAACAATGAGCTAGAAAGGGACTTGAGAGGACTTCTGGGTGCCAATGATGTTCTGTTTTTTTATTTGGATGATGGTTCTATACATATACTCAGTCTGTAAATATTCACTAAGTAGTACATTTATAATATGTACATTTTTCCAAAATTGAATTACAGAAACCACAAAACATCATCAATTGCATAATCCAATGAATAAGAACCATAAAGTCTAAAATTGCCTATTATAGTGCCAGTTTTTTGGCCAATTAAATAGAAACTGAAAACAACAACAACAAAAGGATGTAGGGAAAAGGAAAGAGTAATAAGTAAAGGAAAATAAGAGGAAAGATATGAGTAAAGAGGAAAATCAGAAGCAAGAGGGGGAAAAGAGTAATGAGAAGGACATAAGCTGACTTAGGCTGAGGAACTGGGAAGACCCCATGTTTGACAGAAGTATGCAGCCTCAACATCTGAAATGTTTATTGGCAGTTGACCATTTATAGCTTTCCACTATGAGTCTAAATTATTTAGGGTTCTAAACTCAATGGTAGAAAGAAGAAATCTTCTATGCTATAATAGCAACTACAAAGTTAATATCATTCTAGAGTTGAATTAAATTAAGTCAGGAATTAGAGATGAATCAAACAGATACTAACTTATCACAGAGATACTGTCACAAATAATTGTTTTAATCTAGATGAATCCAAGAATAAGTACCAAATATTCTATATTGGATTTTTTCAATTATATCTTTATAAGATTTTTAGTTTTAAGGATTGAAAGTTCTAAAATCAAGTTATTTCTACTAAGGAAAACATTTTTCAATTAATCGGAATAACAAACCTGCTTTAGGCTTCTTTTTCTTTTTCTTTGGTTTGAATTTTGTCTCATCTTGCATGCTGTTCACTACATTTTGTCCCACAGTCGTTATTTCATCGTCTTGATGATTATCTGAAGTAACTAGACTTTCCTTCTTTTGTTCACCTTGAATTGTGTCATCCATGGGAAATGTCCTACAAGTTTAACCCAAATATACGTCATTACCTATATATTATTATTCATACCGCAGCAAAGTGAACAGTGACTGGAGGCAAGGATAATTCTCGAATCAATATTATTTTCCTCAAATCAATATTATTTCCAACTAGGAGATACATATGCTTTCTTTTGCACTAAAATGGCTAGCTGTCAGACAGGACATATGGATATTCCCCAGGAGTCAAATTAAACTGAGCTCTAAACTCCAGGGGAAAATGAAATTGTATTTTATGAGCAATGGATCTGTTTTTACACAGGATTGATCAAAGCATCCTCACCTTGCTGTCAAATAAAAGACCATATTTCTAAATTACTTTATTTAAAAGCAAAACATGTGTTCTAAGTTTGTTCTGTTTTCAAAAGGCTTCAGATATTCAACCTTTGGTTTCTAGTTAAAAATTGCTCGTTTTATAATTGTTGGTGTGCCACTACATTTTCAGAAGGCTGAAAATGAAAATGTGCATCATATTAGCTAATAAATAGTAAAAGGGTAGCATCTCAGAAGTAAATATTGTTGTAGTAAGAAACCAGCCAGTAAAGTTTGTAATTTATCAAGTAAAACATCTCCATCTAAATAATCAAAAATTGACTTCCATTATATATAAAATTATATTTCAAAAAGATGTTGAGAAATAAAAAAAATTAGAGAATATTTCAATTATTCACCTCAGAAAACCATCATACTTTAGTACATCATCAAATACTATTTCTTAAAGAGAACAATACCCTTTGCATGTCACTGTTATATCAATCATGGTTTTATTTAAAATTCATGAATTAAATTTTATTTACTTATTTTATTTATTTTAAAAATGTTTTTATTGATTTTTAGAAAGAGGAAGGGAAAAGGCGAGAGGGAGAGAAACACCAATGTGAGAGCAAACATCAATCAGCTGCCTACTGGGGATCAAACTGGCAACTTCTCAGTGTGCAGGACAACACCCAACCAACTGAGCCACAAGGACCAGGGCCATGCACTAAACTTATCTAATAGTGAATATGGCTTCCTGATTTATATGGTAGCTATGAGAAGAAAATTTGTAATATACTGTGGTAACAACCAATGAGATGGCCCCCAATAATTCCTATCTCCTAATATTCATAGTCTTGTTTAATTTCCTTCCTTTGATACTTCTAAGCAGACAAGTGTATGACCAAAGTGAGAGATGTTATGAATAGGATTAGGTTCCAAAAAGACTGTGAATTCTCCCTCTGGAGAAGCAAATGCCCACTGTTGTGAGTAGCCCACATTAATAGGTCTGAATAGCCAAAACCGGTTTGGCTCAGTGGACAGAGCGTCAGCCTGCAGACTGAAAGGTCCCAGGTTTGATTCCGGTCAAGGGCATGTACCTTGGTTGTGGGCACATACCCAAAAGGGGATGTGCAAGAGGCAGCTGATTGATGTTTCCCTCTCATCGATGTTTCTAACTCTCTATCCCTCTCTCTTCCTCTCTGTAAAAAATCAATAAAATATTTTTATTTTTTTTTAAAGCAGATGTAAGTGAATAGTTAAGGGTAGTCTTTGGAACAACACTGCTAAGGTTTTGGCTCAGCTTCTTACTGGTTCTGTGACATAAACCCTTCAGTTTTATCATCTATAAAAGATAATACTACTATTCCCTATAGGGTTGTTATAAGGAATAAATGAGTTAACTTTGGTAAAACATTTAGCATACACTGTTCTGTCAATGTGTCCAAATGAAAGTCTTAAGAATTTTCTTTGTGAAACTATAGATATCATTTCAAGCTGAAAAGAATAGGTCTTTTTTAAAGAAGGCATTTTATATCTATGAATATAATGTACCTTGTTTCAGCTTCAGGCAGGACTGGTGCTTTCTTCTTTTTCTTTCTTTTTTTTTCACTGCTTAATTTGTCATCATGCAAGTAAGTATCTGAGGGAAAGTCAGCCAACTGTTCTTTGAGTTTCTTTCTTATTTTCTTCTTAATCTCCTTTGCCATTTCTTCAGCTACCTGGAGCTGGTATTCTTGCTTCAGTTGTTCTTCCTCATCTAAATTATTTCCTTTTTCTTCATTTGCCTTCTCACTTCTGTGATAAGCAAATCCTGGTTGTAACCTCATCTGAACTTTCTGATATAGAAAGTCCACCTTCTTCTCAGAAGTTTCCTGTTCCATTTCTTGTGCAGTCATCTGGCACATTGCTTTTGTAGTCCTCTTATTTGCCTGTTCTTGCTTGTCTTCCTGTACACTCCCATCTTCATCTGGGTTTTCAGCTGTTGACTGTGGATTGCTTGGTCTGTTTTTAAGGGCTCGCATGCTCTTCTTCGTGTTATTAGTGTTAGCAGCAATTACTTCATCGCTTTTCGTTTCTTTCATTTTCCGAGGATTGCTTCTCACAGTGTCAAGCTAGGGGAAGACACAATAACAAAGTTTCAGCTAAGCATAGTTTAGTTATGTAAAGATAAAACACAGTGGCCGGGACCGATTTGGCTCAATGGATAGAGCGTCGGCTTGGGGACTGAAGGGTCCCGGGTTCGATTCTGGTCAAGGGCATGTACCTTGGTTACGGGCATATCCCCAGTAGGGTGTGTGCAAGAGGCAGCTGATCGATGACTCTCTCTCATCGATGTTTCTAACTCTCTATCTCTCTCCCTTCCTCTCTGTATAAAATCAATAAAATATATACATATATTTTTAAATAAAACACAGTGACTAGTGCTCAATAATGTGTAATACTGGGAAAATTATATAATATTTTTACTTGAACAATGACATCCTAGAGCACCTGATAAGCACTGTCCTAGTTCATTCTCCCAACATCAGATTGGCAATCTCTGAGGGTAGCTTCTGATCAAATGAGTTAACATGTGAAAAAGTCCTTAATGACTTTTAAGAAGTTAACTGCTCAAATTTCAAATGCTATCTCCTCTTTGGCAGAATGATCCATACACTAAGGAAGAGAAGTTGGTGAAAGAGCCACTGAGCTTACTTCAGGTTCCCCATCAGAAAGCATGCATAGGTCATTTATCTTGCTTCATAATCATATTCTAAAACCAACAAGTGTATGATAGCTCTAGGATCAACCTGCAATTAGTCCAAATGCATCACTGAAAATACTGCAAAGATTAAATATTCCCAAGTTAAATCAAATGACAAACTAAGCACACACCAGTACCTCTTTCCCCAAATCAGAAAACTTTCAGTGCTCTACCAACTGAGCCACTCTGGCCAAGCTGAAGGATATTATTAATAGCTAGAGAATCCAGAATATTTTCCACCCTTTAAAGTTAATTTAACATACAAAATAAACTTTTTAGAAATTGTCATTCGTAAAGCAGATATCACCTCAATGAAACAACTTATAAGAATAAAATGAGATAGGAGAAACTCAAGATGATAGAGGCTAAACAGTGATAATGTACAAAACATAATTTAAATTTCCCCCAGGAATATTTATTCCCATTCTTTTGACCAGAAAAATATTTCTAAATGTTTTTCTTAGGCTACTTATCTATGAATGAAAAGATACCTTGAACGGCCTGGTGTTTGCTAAGAGAAACTGAGTAGATTATGCTTAGTCACCTCACAATTGTCTGTCCCTCCCCAACATCTAAACTGAACTTCAGGTAAATGAACTGTCCTCAGCCCATTTCCTGAGTATTCATTTAATTTAGCCTTTGTGTCTGGCCTGAAATACAAAAGCCAAATTCTGACAGTGAGAGAAAATTGGCGGCTCTACTTTGACTGAGTCCATAAAGATATCCTGCAGACAACTGTTTCAGCATTCTTTCTGTTTCTGACCAATGTACCCCACCTTTCGGAAGGGGAGGGCATATACCAATATGCAATGCTCCATCCCCTGAATGTCACTATTCCCTACCATACCGTACACGGGTACCACCAGAGGACTCACATTCCATATTAGGACAGTATGTGTTAGGGGAGACCTCATCATCCCCATTTTGCCAGTAATTCTAAATTGGTGTGCAGTAAGTAGTACACTGGTATACTATGAACCTCTCGCTATATGCAGCTGTTTCTAGCCAACATTAGCACTTATTGTTGCCTCATTTGAGAATATACAATGCTAGTATACAATGCATTGATGTCCACCAGACAGAATATTAAAATAAACAAGTCACATGACAATAAGTAGGATAAATTCGCTATAAGTGAAATGTAGGATGTCTACAACTCATCATTAAACTACTATCCCCTCAAAAAAAAAAAACACAAAAAAAAAACTGTGTACCGATTATCAGAACATGTATGAAGTGTTTATGTTATTCTTGTAGGACAGCACTCAAGGCTGAACTCAATATTCCAATAGTGATGTTGATTCTAATGTAAATGTCATTTTATCACATTTTATTGACCATAATATAAATTTGTTTTCAATTTCCAAAGTTCCTTAGAGTCTTTATGAAAAGTCATAACTTTATGCAGATACGTTAAGTCACCATTACCAAATAATCAATTACTCACTGAGATTTTTTCTCCAGACGTGCCAATGTTTTTCTTCAGTTTTTTTCTTTCGCATATTTGATTATTGGGAGTCTTAAGCAATTCCTCAAAATGGGCTTCAGTTTTGACTTTGGCTTCATTCTCAACTACATATAATAAAGACTCATGTCATTTTCTAAATAACTCTACTATAACTTAGCTACATTATTAATATGTTAAAGAATACAGTCTTATAAGTACCCGCATGCATTCTCCCGCTACATTAGAACAACTAACCAGTCCTTTATTCTTAAAAAAAACAAAAACAAAAAAAACTTTTCTTTTAACGTTGATGACACCACTCTCATCTGTATCCCTCTAACCTTTTGGGTTACAACCTCTAAAAGTTTCCTTTGGTAAGTTAACTTTTTATTTATGATGCAACAGTAGTTTCTACTACTCCTAGTTATATGGCCTTAGATAAGTTAGTTAACATTTCTAAATGTGTTCCTTACCTATAATATCAGAATACTCTTATGCCAAAGATCATTTTCCATGAAAAACGGCTAACACTTGCCTAGTCAACAATCAACATTCAACAAATATTAAAAGTTGAAAGTTGCTTTTTCCTTTAAGATATAAATCAAATCCTATTCTCCTCTTACTTGGGACCCTGTGAGTTTCCCATTTCACTTAAGACAGAAATAAAACAAGTCCTCCCTATGTGCTGCAGGATTCATACTTCCTGGCCCACCTACCCCTACAGCTTCAAATCAAGACAATGTCCCCTGAGATCCCTACATTCTGGCCATACTGCCCTTCTAGATCCTCTATCAGAACAAGCTCCTCCCCATGGGAAGCTGTGTCTTGGTGTGGACGCATCTCACTCCCTGAATGGCTGGTATTAAGCTGCCTGAGTAATAATACTTCTAAAGTACAACTGCTACTAACAACTTCATTAAATTTCTCCACTTCTCAAGCAAGCAGATGATTCTTTTCCTTCACAGCACTTAACTTGAAACTGTGTAATTATTTGTGTATATCTATAAATAAATAAACCATCTGTATCTTCCACTATACTGTGTGGTTTACAACTACATCCTTAGCTACTATTTATTATGGGATCTGTCATGGAATAAATGCTCAAACATCTATTAAATAAATGCTGAATGAATGAGTGAATGTCTCAGAGGAGATGTTGGCAAACAAAGCCTGCATGCCAGTTACCTGTTTATGTAAATAAAATTTTATTGGAACAAAGCCATGCCCACTCTGTTAAGAATTGTTGTGGCTGCTTCAATGACAGTGTTCAGTGGTTGTAACAGAGACCAACCTTAAAATATCTACTGGTTTGCATGTTAAGAAAAAGTTTGCCTCTGACTGTTTAGAATAAAACATCCATTTTGATGATTAAAAATGAAAACTAGCTGAAACCGGTTTGGCTCAGTGGTGGAGCGTCGGTCTGGGGACTGAAGGGTCCCGGGTTCGATTCCGGTCGGGGGCATGTACCTTGGTTGCGGGCACATCCCCGGTGGGGGGTGTGCAGGAGGCGGCTGGTCGATGTTTCTCTCTCATCGATATTTCTAGCTCTCTATCTCTCTCCCTTCCTCTCTGTAAAATATCAATAAAATATATTTTAAAAAAAATGAAAACTAACCATTTGTTGTAATTATTATTTACTTTGTCCAGTTGAGTCCTAAACTGCCATCCATTGAATACATGCTAACCTTAATTACAAACATTAAGTAGAAAATAGAATATCAAACACTCAATATCTCTAAGTGTTAATATTTAGTTGATAACATCTATCTTATTCATTAATCTGTTAAAGCACCCATTAAAATAATCCAAACTTTAAAATAAATAAATTGTATTGTATACATACATTTCATAAAAGTCTCACCAGTGGGCATAATCTCAGTTTTATGGAAAGCACTGAGTTCCAATGTAAAGTATTAACTCACTCAGGATCCTATTAAAAACAAAGAGGATTTATTTGGAATACCAGAGTTCCAAATAAAAATTATAATATACTCGTTAGGCAAATAGTGTCATCATGTTTATACCAATCTCTCTTACCTCAATCTTATGTAAATAACTTGAATACATCTGAATCAGTTTAGAGTCCAACATAAAGTGAAGCAAACTGGATCGCATTTGAATAAAATAGTCACATATCTGAAATAAAAAATTGAAAGGCAATTAATATGTAACTTGGTATATTATACTTTTTATACACTTTTAATAAAGTATTTCAAGTAAAAATAAACATTTCAATGCACCTTTGAGAAACCAAATTCCATCTCAGGCTTGATTTTCACAAGAGCACACACTCTTATGTTAGTCAAGTATGCACATTCACAGATAATGAATTTAAAAATCGCTGAACCTGCCACTGAAAATGCTGCTACAATAGAGATGAGCTCAAGTGAAAGTGTGTCCAAACAAACATTAATTCCTATATTAGAACATAATATGTGCAATAGTTTTATTGATTTTTTAGAGAAAGAAGGGAGAAGAGAGAAACATTGATGTGAGAACATAACATCAACCAGCTGCCTCCTGCCAGCCTCCTATTGTGGATTGAGCCCAAAACCTGGGCATGTGCCCTGACTGCAATGGAACCAGCAACCTTTTGGTGCATGGGATGACACCCAACTCACTGAGCCACACCAGCCAGGCCCAAGATGCAGATGTTTCTAAGAATAAAACTAAACACGCTTAAAGGAAAAGGAAAACATTACTTGAGTTGGCTCAGCAATTATCATTTTATTCTGGTATTACGGTACTTTGGACAGAAAAGAGAAGAAATGCTTACAAAAGAAAAAGAGTGATTATATAAATACACCTAATTATGTGAGTTAGGTAACAACTAAGTAGTACACAGGCAAAACAAATATCCCTACATCCACATACTAAAATCTCTTATACTTTGATGATAAGACCCTATATTTACTTTTTAGTAAATACAGATTTAAAAGCCTCGTCACCTACTTTCCAATTGACCCCAAATTAAAAAAGAGAAAGGCTGCAAAGGCAAGTGAAATAACAAATCAGTAACTGAACCCCGACAGCACAGAGACAGGAAAAATATAAAGCAGAAAATTATTTAATATAATATTTATAAAATTCCATGATCATTTAATATATAGGAAAAGAGCTAAACTATGACTATGAGTCAGCAAAGCTTACTTATATTCAACTTAACCTGTGTTCTTTTCTCTTGAGCAGAAAATTTATCACATTTTAGAAAGACTAAATAAAAACAACTGTAAAGGCAGGACAGAGATTCAAGGATGATTCTTGTTTCTGGAAATAGAATAAATAGAAAATAGAACCATTAAATAGAATACAGTGCATTATAGGAGAAATACAGTGGAGTAATTTAAAACCTTAGGCCTGGAATTTGCCTCCAATGCCTAGAATGGTTACTTGTGATCCTAGGTAATCTGTTTCCTCATCTGTAAAATCAGTTCAACAGGGCCTATTCAAAGGGTTACTGTAAGGGTTGAATGATTTAAAACAGAGTCCAGAACAAGCATCAATAAACACCACCTACAGCTGTAATTGGGCTTATGGGGACACTTAGTGAGCTCAGTACGCATGGTAAGATGGGTATCTGAGAGGCACTAAGAGGCGATAAGCATCATCAGATTTCTGGATTCAAATGTTAGTTCTGCCAGTAGATTAGTCTCTGTGGACTTCCATTTCCTAATCTTTCAAATAATAGTAAACTACTGATAGTGTTTCTGTAAAGATTAAATAAGAATATGAAAGTAAAACACTTAGCACAAATGCCTAGAGAATGGCAAGCCTTTAAAAAATGACAACTATTATTACTCTGTGTGTGTGTGTGTGTGTGTGTGTGTGCATGCGCGCACATGTATACTATAATCAGATTATGCTTGGTAGGCAACAGAATACAGGCATATCTTGTTTTATTTCGTTTTCATTTACTGAGCTTCATATCTTGTTTTATTTCATTTTCATTTACTGAGCTTCACAGATGTGTTTTTTAAACACAAGACCCTCCACCAGCAAAAAGATACAACTTACTTTATTACAATGCTTGCTTTATTGTGGTGGTGTGACTCAACCTCCAAAATCTCCAAAGTGTGGATGTATAGTAATCCAGCAAGGAGATCTAGGATAAAGTTTTGGGCATCATTTATATCTGTGATGATTGCAAGGAAAAAAGTGCAGAAGAAGAAAGTTGGGTGTGATCAGGCCTGCAGGGGAGGGAAGGCAGTTGGGGTGAACCAGGCGGGCAGGGGAGAGCAATTGGGGGCAATCATGCTGGCAGGGGAGCAGTTAGGCATTGATCAGGCTGGCAGGGAGTGGTTAGGGGGAGATCAGGCTGGCAGGCAGAAGCAGTTAGGGGCAATCAAGCAGGCAGGCAGGTGAGGGATTGGGAGCCAGCAGTCTCGGATTGGGAGCCAGCAGTCTCAGATTGTGAGAGGGATATCTGACTGTCAACAGAGATTGGGCCTAAACCCGGAGTTGGATATCCCCTGAGGGGTCCCAGATTGGAGAGGGTGCAGGCTGGGCTGAGGGACAAGCCCTCCTCCAGTGCATGAATTTCATGCACCTGGCCTCTAGTAAAGATATAAAAATAAATGAAATAAATTAAAACATATATATATATATATATTTTTTTTTTTTTTTAAGTAAAAAGACATAAGAGAGATAGGTGACAAACTGGGAGAGGTAAGTAACCAAAGGGAAAAGAGTCGATCTATATTTTATGGTGCCAAGAATGGCAATAAGTTTTGAAGTGAGTTCACTAGATCTGCAATCAGAAAGTCACAAGTGCAAAGCTGTTCATGAAGGGGCGGAAACCTGGCAGCTGCAGGTGAGGAGTGAATGGAGGGTGAGACCTAGAGAAGAAACAGTGATGTAAATCACTGTTTCAGCAATTTTGCTTCCCTCTGTCTTTCTCCCCCCGCCCCGACCTCCAAAGACAGTGACAGGTGGCAGTAGCTTCGAGACAAAAAGACCATGGAAATGACCCCTTGCCTTTTCTCACCTCCACTTTCTTCACTACACACATTCTGAGCTCTAGCCATGCAAAACTATGATACTTGCAGCCCTCAAATGTGCCAACTCTTGCTTTTGTACCATTCATTACACATAAACCTCTCTCTCATGAGAAATGCCATATCTCCCTGTCCATCTAGCAAATGTGTAAGTATCCTTTGACGCTCAATGCATTGGTGTCTCTGTAAGAGATTGTTCTAATGTTGAGGGGCAATTAAATGCTTCTCTGTGCCCCCACAGTGCTGTGATCTTCACACCTCCCTCTAGCTGATAAAATGTTCTGTTCGCCTTTTGGAGGGCTACACCTACGTTCTCTTCATCTCATGTATTCTCATTTTAAAAATAGGGCAAAGGTGTCAGTAAGAATGGTTCTAGGGTCAAAAAGACTCAGGCCCTTGTTCTGCCACTTACAGAATGTGCCTTGGGCAAGCTACTTCATATCACTAAAGCTAGTTTCTTGGTTGTTTTTTTGTTTTGTTTCTGTTGTTTTTTTGCCTGAGAAATTAAAATGGCACCAACTTTACTCTATGGAGAAAAGGAAATACTGAAAAGCAAAGTGATCAGCACAGTAGCTGACACATAGTAGGTGCTCAAGAAAATTACTTTGTGATCATTACTACAGTATTAAAACAAGGATGTGATAGGTAGAATACATTAAGTAAATTATGAATTTACATTATTTATTATTTAGTATTTTAATGCACAACTGGTAAATATTAGTTAACAATGCACCAAATACATTACAGAAATAATCTAAGTGTTAATACATTATAGAATGAACAATATGTGACTAGAAACATCAATGGCAGAAATTAAAGTCAGACTTAAAAGGACATTCCTGAATCTCACATGTGCCATTATTTTAAATCTTCTCCCTCACAACCCTTTTAACGGGTGCTATTAAGAGATAACGGTATAGGAAAATTAACTGCATTATGTTTCATCTCATGAACTTTTTCTTAAACCACTTGATTATTGGCCAATAAATGACTAAAGATTAAGGGAAGAAAAAGTTGTGAGGTTTGGAAAACTCTTTAAAGAATTTTCTAGCACATAGGGGGGGAAAATAAACAAAAACCCTTTTTACAAAATTCAATTAATAAATCGATGATAGTCTACCCAAATAAACAAGATTCTACACATGGTTTAGAAATACTCTTGGTATTTGAATTATCTCAAATATCTTTTTAAAATTTACCATAGTCTTAAAAATATACGATCTTCTTCCTGAAAGCTCAAACAGTGCCAGCAATCATTAATGCAACAGGTGAAGAGAGAGGCCACACACTCCAATCAGCAGGTGTTTCACTGCAGAGAGTCTTAGTCTACTTTTTTTGCCTCTATTTATACATATCGAAAAGACCCTACTAATTAATTTGGCTTTTCCCTTAAAACTGAAACGCCCCCATCACCTTTTCTCGGATGTCACAAAGAAGGCATTCACAGGGTCAATATCAGCACCAGGGCGACATCCGAAAAGGGATGAAACGGACTTCTTTTGAAAGCGTTTACCATAAACCAGAACCAGGAGCAGGAAAAGCAAAGATTGCATCCTCTCCGGGGGGACACCAGGCTGAACTCTCCAGATCCCTGGAGCCTGGGAAGGAAGGGGGCGGGCAAGTGCGTCTATTTCCCAAAACCACGCCCGTCCGCTGGGCGGCGCTCCCGCTCCCGTCCGCTGGGCGGCGCCGCGCCGTCAGCCGGCGGGGGCGCACTGCCGCCCAGGCGCCCACGGCCCCGCGCAGCCCCAGGCCGCCGCTCCCCGGGCACAGGCCGGCCGCGTACTCACGGGGAGGAGACGCCGGACATCCGACAGCCCGTCCCACTGCGCCCGACGCCGGGACGGTGCGAAATGGCCCCGCGCGCCCGGAGGGGCGGCTGGCAGTTCAGCGGCCGCACGAGCAACGCAGCCGCCGGAAACGCGGGCTCCGGGAGTGGGCCCTGGGCCTCCTAGCGGGCTGACGTCAGCACCACCGCCCGCGGTTCCCAGGGCAACCGACGCGGCGGGGCCTGGACCGCCGTCCTGCTGGGGCGCCCCGCACGGCTCCGCCCCCCGCGCCTCCCACGGCCGCGCCCCAAGGCCTGCGGGGGGACGCGCCCTGACACTGCGCCCGGGTGCGCGCTCCGAGGGCTGCGCGCTCCTGCAGGGAGCGGAAAGGGACCCCGGGAACCCGGGAAGGCGCCCCGAGAGCCTGAACTCAGTCCCCAAAGGCATCTCTGCGGCTCAGAGCCGCAGCCAGCGCTGGGGAAAACGGGGCCGGGCAGAGCGAGCCGGGGAGGCTGTCGGGGACCCTCTCCCCCAAAAGAGGAGGAACCCGAAGGAGGGAACGAAACAGACTCGCCGTGCCCCGCGCGCTCGCAGCCACCCGCAGGCGAGCGGGAGCAGAGTGCACCGCAGACAGAATGTCAGGGGACACGTTATCCCCTGCTCGTGTGGCGCTCAGTGATCAGCATGTGTTTGAAGGAGAACAAGAAGAAAAACAACCTTTTCTACTCCCCGGGGCCCCCTCCCACTTTCTACTTTCTGCACCAGGCGCCATCTCTAGGTCTGAGTCACCGGGGCTGGAAAAATGCAGGGACTAGTCACTCCTGCCTTCAGTTTGCTGCGGCTGCAGCCCCGCGGTGTGGCCTGTTGCTTCGGTTGGACAGCGGGAGCGTGGAGCGTCTCTCTGTGGAGGCTAGCTTTTTCCATTGCCTTTGGCATCGCTGTATCTCGCAGAGCAGACCTCCTTTGCTTCTCAAAGTCCTGTGAGAAGGCAGAAATTACCAACCCTATGTGTCTCAGACCCAGCTGTTTCCCCTTCCACGCAAACACTTTCTTGGTTTCTGTCGTGGTTGAAGCCGCCACCATCATCCCAGTATTGCAGACAATATCACCTGTTGAGCGTCCTAAATACATCTCATACCAAAACCGTGTGCATTCTACCTTTATAACACCCTGGTGTATAGCTTATCCATATCCATGCCCACGGCCTAATGCCAGCCTTCACAGCATCTCCCAAGGATTAGTTTAAGAGGGCCTCTTTAGGAGTCTCCCTGGCTCAAGGGTTGACCCCTGGAGTTCCATCTCCACATCACTAACCAGGATGACTTCACTGAAAATGTAAATCTGATAATGCCAACTCCTGAAAATGTTCCGTGATCTGAGAAGAAAATTAGTTATTTTGCCTAGTCCCTCGGCCTGACTAGCTTCACTTCTCATTGCCTCATTGGGATTTTGTGCTTCAGCAATGTGGAAGTATCGATAGGTGCACCACCACAGTTGATATCTTTTCATGCCCTAATTCTTGCACACGTTTATCCCCTCTCTCTGAAAATCCCTCCTTGTAAATGTATACTGTTGCATATCTCAGCCCAAATGTTGTCCATCCATTGAATCTTAACTAGGTTGACTAATTCCTCTAAACACTCCTGCTGTGTGTGTGTGTGTGTGTGTATGTGTGTGTGTACATATATCCTCTTAAGCTTTGGACAGTCATTCTATAAAATGTTTTGTTTGTATTGTACTTTACTTTTTTAGCCCCAGCATTAACCATTGTATCTATCAAATAATTGGTGCTACTTCATGAACATCTGTGAATGGGTATGGATGACTTATACAGAGGTGGGCAAAAGTAAGTTTACAGTTGTGATTACACAAAACAATTTATTTTTGTATTATGTATTTATTGTATTGCAATTGTAAACTCATGTTTTCCCACCCCTATATTGAGCTCCTCCTAGGAACTATACATTATAGGTGTTTAATGTGTTTTTCATTTGTCCTAACAATTGTGATGTACATACCTACTTTTAACAAAGGTTATAACTCTGGTGGTGCATTCTGATTTAGGTATCCTATATAATGAAAGAGTAAAATGCAAACAGACCAAATGGCAAAACAACTGAACAACCAATTAAAGCATGATATGCTAATGATATGCTAAAGTTGCTCAACTGCTTGCTATGATGTGCACTGACCATTAGGGGGCAGACAGTCAACTAGTCAACAAGTCACTATGATGGACACTGACCACCAGGAGGCAGATGCTCTAACTAGTAGATTAATTTGCTGCTGGGATTCTGCTGATTGGGACTGAGTGAGATGGGTCAGACATGCCCTGGAGCTTTCCTGTGGCCCCTTCCCAGCCTGATGGTCCCTCAGCCTGGCCTGCACCCTCTAGCAATCGGGGACTCTTAGGGGTATGTCGGAGAGCCAGTTTCAGCCCTATCCCACAGGCCACTCCCCTTGGGAGGAGGCACAGTGGGGCCAGGATGAGTGGGAGCAGCAGGTAGGAGCTGCAGGCAGCATTGGACTGAGGCCTTCAGCCCAAACCCTGCAGGCCAGCCAGAGGGACCCCAGCCATGCATGAATTTGTGCACTGGGCTCCTAGTTATTTTAATTAATGCATTCTCAGTTTATCAGACTGGCCGAGATATACACCTGTTATCTCTTGCGTAGATCTTTACAGTAGCTTGCAGAAGTGTAATTGGGGTGGGGAGGTAGGGAATATTTCATAACAGGAGTGACATTTAAAAATACATGGAGTTGTCCTGGTTGGGAAGAGTTTCTGGGTAGAAAAGGTGTGGTTTAGTGCTAAATAAAAGAAAGCTTAACATAATCTAAGAACTGAAATAAATTCAGCATAACAAAAAGTCAAGAATAAGGCTAGGGGTGCTGGGAGAAAGTAAGACAAGAGGGCCAGACAGTGTTGTCGGGTCAATGGGGTACCATTAAGGCATTTTAATCAGAGAAAACTGGTCAAATTTTAATTTCAGAAAGAAACTCTGGCTGCAGTGTGGAAAGTGGATGGGAAGAAAGCAAATTTAGATACAGGGATATAAGGTAAGATGCTATTATTGTAAACCATGTAAGAGAAGTCCAAGACTAAGGTGTCAGCAGGGTCGGTTTCTTTTGAGGCCTCTCTCTCTTTGGCTCTTATGTGGCTGCCTTCTCCCTCGTGTTCGCATGGTCTTCCCACTCTCCTTGTCTGTGTCCTAATCTCCTCTTAGCAGGACAGTAGCCATATTGGATTAGGGCCCACTCTACTGACCTAATTTTAACTTAATTACCTCTTCAAGGGCATTATCTCCAAATATTACTGTCTCATTCTGAAGTACTGGGGGTTAGGATTTCAACCTATGAATTTTGGGGGTACAACTCAGCCCATAATGCTGCTGGAGTAGAATTCTGGAGGCAAAACAGAATGTAGCTGATGGTTCTTGTTCTTATTCTCATTCTTCAAAAACCAATTATATAAAGACATGTTGTAGGCACAGATTTTTCAGTATGGGCTATGTATTGATATTAAGGAATCTTTGTTAATTTTTTAATAGATGAAATAATGGTATTGTGATGATGTAAAAATATGACTTTTAAAATACATAGAATAGATTCGTAAGATATCTGAAATTTGCTTTAAAATACCCCCAAACACACACACACACACACACACACAAAACAAACAAACAAACAAAAAAAACAAACACACACCCAAAAATACCCCACAAACAAACAAACAACTCACACAGATTGTGGAAAGATGACACATGCATATCTAAAATTTGGTGGTGGTTGAAGCAGATTGTAGATATCTGGTATTTTATTATATATTTTTTCTTTATATCCTTAGAAATTTTCATGGTAAACAGGAATAATGAAAGTAGAAATACTCACATTATAGAGAATTTGAAAGATATAACACCAGGAGAAAAGGAAAGAGTACTCAGTACCACTACCCTTATTCTAAGAGAATCTGGGGAACTTTACAGTCTTTTTTTCATGCATATTCTAATATTGGTCATACTTATGTAAGATGTTTATTTTTGCTTTCTTGCATTAATATTGTGTTATATTTTATTTCCATGCAATTATGTATGTAATATAAATTTCATTAAAATTCTAACTTTGTGCTCTTTCTCCGCCATCGAGGTGCACGCTCGCCTCTCCCTCACCATGTCTTCCCACAAGACTTTCCGGATCAAGAGGTTCCTGGCCAAGAAACAAAAGCAGAATCGGCCCATTCCCCAATGGATTCGGATGAAAACTGGTAATAAAATCAGGTTCAACTCGAAGAGGAGACATTGGAGAAGAACCAAACTGGGCCTTTGAGAACTCACTCATGACAGATGACTCACATATTAATATTTATGCTGTATCCAGGTTGCCTACACCTTGAGATGATTGAAAAGATGCTACTGTCTGGACAGTTGGAGCATTTTAATTGGAGAAATAATGGACTTGTGATTTTGCTCTGTTGATTTTTTGTTTTCCCTTCTGCAATAGTATGATGGTTCAGTAACAAATGTGTGAGATCTTTAAAAAAAAAAAATTCTAACTTTGTTAATAATGTTCATAAAAATTTCAATCATCCAGATGTTTATAAAGTAGAAAGTGAAAGCCTGCCATATATAAATCACTGATAAGAATCTTTTATACTTTTTGTCTCACCACCTTTTTTTTTGTCTTCATCAAATCTTATTATTCTAAAAGGTTTTTTATGTCAGTAATATATATTTATCTTAATCATTTTAATGGCTTCATTCTACAGCATTTCTATTCCAGAACTTCTTTATCAATGATAATAAAACGTCAAAAGGTGTTATGGTGGTTTTTTTTAAATTAAGAGCTTTCATATACATCCCTCATAGTATTATTAAATTTATAATAATACTTTAACTGCATGCTAGACATTTCCACTTTGAAGTCTAATAGGCATCTCAATCTCAGCTTTTCTGACACTGAGCTCCTAATCTTGGCCTCCTCACACAAACCCCACTTGAAGCTTTCTCTGTCTCACATAGTGACCATTCTGTTTTTCTATTGGGTCGGCAAGTAAGTAATTGCGGGTTTCACACATATATGGCTTCAGTTGAATTTTTAGGTTTGCAGACGTAGTAAAAATGTAAAACACATTTTGTTATTTGATAGTTGGCTATTCAGCTGTTAAT